GGGGGGGGGGGGGGGGCTGCGGTGTGTGCATACCGTACCGACCATAAGGTGTGATCATCTCGATTTGGTCCCAGTATCTGGCGAAGACGTACTCGTAGTCGAGTGGGTGCGGCAGCTGCACCACACGCTTGGCCTCGCGCTTGATGTCCTCCCTGCCGTTCGGTGGTCATCATTTACGACACACATAAAGGAGGAGAGACCCGCATACACATGCTTGTGGTCTGCTTGTGTGTGTGCATCAATCAGGATGTGTGTGTGTATCGTCCGTCATGGTGTGTATGTGACTGACTTGAGTTGTCGTTTGGGTATCTCCCACTCCATGGAGTGTGCGAGGCTGGATGTGGGCTGCGGGCGGCCACCCAGCCGCACTCGACGCAACATGCGGTCGTGCCACATCTCCACCAGACGCACGCTACCGCACCACAGATACTCCACTGAATGCACAGCACAGGAATGAATCATACCACACACACACACGCACTCACACACATGGCTAGTGTGTGGGGTGTGTGCAGGTGTGTGTGCAGGTGTGTGTGTGTGTGTGTGGTACCTGGCACGACCTCCTCCCAGGCCGGAATGAGTGCGTGGTGTGCTATCTTGGTAAACTCGGTTCGGAGCTCGAGGCGCGTGTACTGCCGCTTGACGGAGAGGCGGTCGGGCCGCTCCGGCTCGATCTTGTGCGACTCGCACATCAGCAGCACCCCCACACCTATTTGACGCATCCACTCCTACATACACACACACACACACACACACATACATATCCACCCACACACGCGAGAATGCCCCCCGCCTCTCTTTCTTTCTGCCTCTCTGTCTGTCTGTTGGTACCTACCTCGCTGATGAGTTGGTGCAGCTGGTCGAAGCTCGACTGCCGTTGGGGGTATATGGGCGACCCCAGTGGCAGCGTGGCCAGTGCCACAGTGTGTGGCACCTCTGTGTATGGCCACTGGACCGAGAAGGCCGTCACGGGGGGCGTCGTGGGGAAACGATGGATGCAGGCGCCCGGGGTGCCCAGGCGGTGTGTGAAGTCGTCCACGCTGTCGCTGACGGCCTTCATCTTGTCCTCGACGCGGCGCTCGATGGCACGGAGGAAGATGACTCGGTGAGGGGGGAGGAATATGAGCGTGTTGGTGTTGCCCAGACTGCATCATCTCATCAATCACACACGCCGGTGTGGTGTGGTGTGTGTGTGTGTGTGCGTACATGAAGAGCTGGTCGTTGTGGATGAAGCCGTAGTCGTTGGAGTGGTGCAATACCTCTGTTTGCATGAACCAACCAGCCAACACACACACACAAACAAGCCGACAGAGCGAGTCGTGGGTAGTGCCTGCAGTGCCTGCCCTCCCTCCCTCTCTGCTCGGCTGGCTCACCGTATCCATTGTCCTCGACTCTGAGCCGCTCGAACCCGATGGCCCTGCCCTCGCTACCCACATAGAAGCACTCGCTAGTGCTACAAACACAACACAACACACAAACACAGTACACACACACGTCAGTCACGTGTGTCTGTGGTGTGGTGTGCGGCTGGATGGCTGGCCTACAGTGATCTGAACCAGATCTCGCCGACGGTGCCGGGTTCGACCTCCTTGCACGTGAGTGGGTTGACCAGCCGCACCTTGACCCGCTCACTGGCGTAGCCGTGACTCACCACGCGACGCTCGTTGGGCAGGTCGAAGCTCAGCGACAAACCCAGGTGGTCAGGATGCACACACTCGCTCAGCTTCTCCTCGTGAAGCTTCACACACACACACATACAATAAATACACAGGCAGGCAGACAGACAGGAAGAGAGAATGACGCTGGCTGGTGCAGGTCTGTGTGTGTGGGTGGTTACTTACCACTTTGACTTTGCCGGATCGCTCGAGCTCGTCTACGTCTACGGTGACGACGAGTGCCTCCTCCTTCCTATGGCGCCGCGCCCCCGACAGGATCGCCCCGCTGTCCGACGCCTCGTACACCGGCAGGACTGCCGAAAACGGCACGTGCAGACGCCGCGGACGGTCGCTGTTGATCAGCTGACACACACACACACACACGCACACACACACACAGAGGGCGACATGAGCCCATCCATCCATCCATCCAGAGGTGTGGGTGTGTTGACTGGCTGACTGACGTGAAGGAACTTTGCGACGAGTTCGATGTCGACGGCGTCTTCGCCGCACATGAGTCCCCCCTCGCTGACGAACTCGAGCTTGGGGATGTCCTCGCCCTCGTGCAGGTAGTTCCCGAGGTCCTCAAGGAGCTGCAGCAGCTGCCGGATGGCGATGGTCGGCAGCGGCAGGATGACGCACTCCATGTCGGCCGCGATGGACAGGAACCGCCAGGGGTCGACGAAGAAACAGTTGGGCGACGTCAGCAGCACCTCAAATCCGAAGAACAACGTCGTCCTGACACACACAGACACACACACACACATGGGTGGCATGGCATCCGCCATGCATCCGATCCACCCATTTTGAATTTGTGTGGGTGACGTACAGGATGAAGTAGATGAGTCCTCGTCCGTAGTGCATGGGCAGCCAGGAGAAGGCCCTTGAGGGGTGTGAGAGGGTCTGCTGTGAGATGAAGTGGCGCCACACGTACTGGGTGCGAAGGTCGTCGGGGAAGTTCTTGGGGAAGCTGGTGAGCATCCGCTGGATCTTGCTCACCTCGACCTCGGCGTCCTCGTCGATGGCTATGTCTATGTCAGGGTCCGACGGCCACACCGGGAACTCCCGGATTGGGGCGCGGTCGCGGCCCCCGATGGTCTCCTTGAGGTCGCGGCCCATCTTGTCCTTCTCTCTGTCGTAGGACAGCATGACCGTCCGGCCGTAGCTCTTGATGCTCTCGTGCAGCGTCAGGTGCGTCAGGGTGGCCCCCCGGTCGTCGGCAAACGGGGGAAACAGGATGCAGGCATCGTCCTGCGGCCGCACCTCTGGCTCGTCCACGTCGTTGTCCAGCAGGATGTCGGGCAGAAACAGAGACGCCCCCTTGTGCGTGTCCACCCAACGGAGCGAGTTGGAGGCCGACGGGCGCAGCTCCGACGAGGGGCTGTTCTGCAGGACGTTGAAGTAGGGCGTGTGGGTGAGGACGGTGCGGCAGCCGGCGCGCTTGATGGTGGCCAGGAGCTCCTTGGCGGCTTCCTGGTGCTCGCGGGCGTCGGGCGGCACGGGCAACAGCGGCACCGCCACCAAACCGCGGGACAGGCACGCCAGGAACGCTACGATGAAATCCTAAACACAACACACAACACACACACACACACACTCCGGACGGACGCGACACATGTCATGAGCCGTGTTGCTGTGCTGTGCTGTGACTGAGTGACTGACCAGTGAGGGCATGTAGCAGAGCGCGACTTTGTCCCCCCTCTGCAGCTTGACGACGTGCTGTAGGAACCAGCCGAGCTTCTTGACCTCATGTGTGAGCTGTCCGTAGGTCATGGACACGGCCAGGCTGCCCAGGTGATCGTACCAGCGGAGAGCCACGCGGTCGCCGTGGTTGGACCCCCACACCTGCACCGCCTCCCAGATCTTCCACGGATGGTTCTCATCCAACGGCAAACACATCTGACCACACACACACACACAGATGGATGCATTGCATTGGATTGGACGGCTGGAGGGGGTCTTTTCCGGTAGATCTGCCGTCGGTTCGCCCACCTTTTCTGGAATGGGGCTGAGAGGCTCGCCTGGCGTGTCGAGCAGGCCGTCCTCCCGCCCGAGGGACTCTTCGCGGACCAGAGATGCCATGGCCGGAGGGCGCTCAGATGAATCTATCCATCAGACCGTTGCACAACAGCACCCAGCCGTCCCTCTCACGCCTCGTGTGCCCCTCGACTGCCGGAACGAGAGGGAATGTTCACGACCGCCTGCGAGCTTTGGGTCGACATTCGGCTGTCGCTGAAGAAGAAGCAGAATCAGGCAGTGACGATGGGAAACGCCCCTCACAGCAGAGGACCCTTCGGTAATTGATTGATCCGGCTCAATTCGCATCAACGAGCGGTCCACCAGCTGTGCTGTCTGGAGTGTGGTGTGTGCAGGTCTCCGTGACGACGGCTACGTGCGTCAGGGTGGCTACCGATACAAAGGGTCAGCCAAGGCATGCAAGATCACCAAGGAGACGATGAACAAACAAGGGTGATTCCCCATATCGTGTCTGTCTGTGTGCGTGAGTTTGCGTAGAGGTCTGAAGGATGGCAAGCGACACGGTCACGGCATCCTTCTCTACCCGTGAGCAATCACGAGGATATCTATCATGCACACATGAATGACTGACTGACTGACTGACGCATGACGTGAGCACCTCTCTGTTCTGTGTGTGCACTGCAGCAACGGTGCTGTGTATGCGGGTGAGTTTGCCGACCACTTCCAGAACGGATTCGGCGTCTACGTCGCCCCCAACTTCAACAGATACGAAGGTCACCATACCACAACATCAAACACACCACACCATCACACACACCACACCGTCACACACACGGCACACATGTGTCTGTTGTGCGGCTGTGTTGGGTGGGTGCTTCAGGCCAGTGGAAGGACGGCAAGCGGGAGGGGGCGGGGATCGAACGACACTTTCGCTCGGGCGTCTCCTTCACGGGTGCGATGCGATGCGATGCGATGGGGGAGACAAACAGAGGGAGGGACACGGCCGACGGATGACGTGCGGCTGTGTGTGTGGTGTGCACTGCAGGCACATGGGTGGGCGACGTGCGTGACGGGGAGGGCGCCAGGTGGAAACCCAACGGACAAGTCGTGCGGTCAGTCCAGTCAGCTCGCGAATCACACAGATAGATAGCATCGATGCGCACCCCTACCACATCTCATCTATTGTCTCCTCCGCCGTCGTGTGTGTTCCTGTACATGTGTATGTGTATGTGTATGTGTGTGAGTCAGAGAGGTGTGGCAGCGGGGTCAGCAGGTGACGCCGTCCGCCTTGGAGAGACAAGAAAGCGACTCCGTCTCAAGTATGCATGCCAACCTCACCTTACGCGCACACCCATTGCAATACACAGACACTAACGGCCCCCCACCTGTCTGCAGGTGGCACGGATGACGATGACGATTTGTTGGCTGCGGCCAGCCCCCCGCACGACACCGACAGCAACTCGCCGGCGGTGCCTCACGCCAGACGACACAAGAGCAGGCGGCCCAAGGACCCTTCACCAGCCACACACGACCAAAGCAACCCCACCGAGTTCATCAACCAACACATTTACACCCTCTCGCAGAAACTGCTGCAGCATCTGCGGGACGATGAGTGGGAGAGTGACTATGAGGGTGAGGACCCCCAGTGCCAGCAGTGGAGCGCCGTCCGCCACACGCTCACCGGGCTGGCGGAGCTGCACGCCCAGCACCAGCAGCAGAGCGGCGACATGGATGCGGGCAAGGAGTTCGGCAGCAGGAGCCAGTTTCTGCGGGCAATAGGGTACCACTGGCCGTATGTGGGTGGGTATGACCTGGAGCGGAGCCTCGACTACCTGCGCAGCCGCAATGTGGAGATCGCCGGGGCACAGGAGCTGGAGGAAGTCTACTTCCGTATCATGGACACTCCGGGTGGGTGGGGGGGTGCACGCCACGCCCTGGGCAGATGTCTAGATGTGTCAATCTGTGTGTGTGGGTCAGTTGAGGAGTGGACTCCCTCAGAGGTCGGCGTGTGGCTCGCACAGAAGGACCTCTCACGGCTGATCGAAAACTTCATGTGAGTGTCAGTCATGTCAGAGAGAGCCCATTGGCCACCCTCACTCACACTCACACCCGACAATTTGACGCTTCTGTATGTATGTGTGCAGGGAGGCGCAGGTGACGGGCAAGAGGCTGCTGGACATGGACCACCGCGCCCTCAAGGAGGAGGTCAGCGTCATCCCTTTCGGCCACAGGGCAAGGGTCCTCAAGGCCATCAAGCAACTCAAGTAACTATCCCAACCCATCAGCACACACACACAGTCACACAAGCCACACACGTGTGTGCGAGTGCATTGCAGGGAGTTCAAGAAGAACCGCGACATCGGAATGTTCTACGAGACGCGCCGGGGCTCGGTGCCCATCCCGCCACCCGTCCCAGCCCTGCCCACCAAACAGCCGGACAGCGACATCGACCCGCCCACGGCCAACTCGGGCGTCCAACAAAGGTAGGTAGGTATCTATTCATGTGTGTGTGTGTGGGTGGGAGAGAGGGAGAGAGCGAAAGACACAGACTGACAGCACAGCATCCTTGCGTGTGTGTGGTATGTATGCATGCCTATGGTATGGTGTGTGTCCGTCAGTGAGACCGACGACACGTCAGGAGACATCCCCGACCCCCAGCGGAACGACAGGAAGCGCGAGGCCGTCATGATGACCGGCAGGGACAGGGCCAGGCAACAACAGTACGGACCTGACGCGCCACAACCGCCAAACGGACCACGTGGACAGGTGGGCTGACCGACACACAACACCATCCTCACCCTGTGCCTCATGGATGGATGCAGGAGTCTGGGAGTGAGCTGTCTCTGCCAGTGGGCAGCGGCGCGTCGGTGCCCCGCCACCCGCCCCGAAGGCGCCCCCGGTCGGACAGTGAGAGCACCGTGAGCGTGCCGCATGGCCTGGACCTCATCGACGCCAGGGCGCACGCGGCTTCCATCGCAATCGACTTCAAACAGCTCACTTTCCTCAAAAAGGCAATGGGAAACTCACACGCACCGCAGAGAGAATGGGTTTGGTTTGCGTGTTGTCCATTTCATTTGTGTGTGGGGTGTGGTTGATTGGATGGTTTATGCAGATAGGTGAGGAGGGTCGCAGTCGCATGTACCGGGGTCGCTGGCTGGGCAAGGACGTGGCCATCAAGGTCTACAAGGGCAAACTACTCAGAGAGAAAATGTGGTACACGACTCCAGCCACTCACTACACCACAGACAGACCACACACGGCACCCCCCATGTGTGTGGTCTGTGTGTGTTTGTGCAGGGTGGAGTCATTGGTTGCCTTGAGTGAGATGCGCCACCCCCACATAGCGCTCTTCATGGGCATCGCCGTCAGACCAGAGGTCAGCAGATAAGATATACACCCAGACAGAGAGAGAGGACATGCTGGAACGAGGCTCGTCTGTCTGTGTCGCCTGTGTGTGTGTCAGCCGCCCACGTGCTGCATCGTGACAGAGTACCTGCCAAATGGATCCATATTCGAGTCAGCGAGCTACCAACCAACCACCTCTTCACACACACATGCCTGTGTGTGCCTGATCAGGTTGATCCACCCCAACACCCCCCAGTCGCTCGACCTGCCCTCCCACGCCGGCGGCCACACACGAACCGCCCCGCCCTCGTCATTCATGCCACCACACACACACGTAAACACCGCACCCCCATAGGATGCCTCGCACCATAACGCCACCCACTCACTCACTTGTCTCTCTGTGTGTGTCTGTGGTCAGGCGAGCTCCTCAGCAGCGAGCCGAGCGGCGGCAGCTCAGCAGGGCCGCGGGTTGGGCGCGTCGAGCAGCCATGCTGGCAGGGTTGGTGGTCGGCTGAAGCTCAAGGACGGGCCCGTCACCATACAGCTGCTGCTCAGAATCGCCAGGTGAGTCAGTGGCTTGTGGGCGGATGGAATGGGATGGCTGAGTGCACTCGCTCATTGACTGGTGTGGCCGCCTGGTTGTTTGTGTGTGTAGGGGCATTGCCTTGGGCTGCGCCTACCTCCAAAAGAGAGGGGTATGTCTTCACATGGAGAGAGGCAAAGGGGAGGCGATGCGGCCTGTATGTGTGTGTGTGTGTGTGTGTAGATTGGTCATTTGAATCTGAAGCCCTCCAACGTCCTCATCGACGAGACCATCAACGTCAAACTATGCGACTTTGGTAGGCACAGACACACACACACACTTCCCTCGCCACCTCCATCTTTGGGTACCCTTCCTCCCTCCCTGCCTCCTTTCGTTCGTCAGGTCTGCGTGACTTCGAGGAGGCCTTCCGCCCCCCTTACCGCGGCGAGCGGTGCAGGCGGCCGCTGGCCTGGTGCGCCCCTGAGGTGCTGCGCTCGGACAGTGCGCTGGGTCGCGACTGGACGGCAGACGTCTACTCGTTCGGGATGATCTTCTGGGAAATTGTTAGTCAAGCCCAACCGGACACACACACTCGCGTGGATGTCTGTGTATCTGCCTGTCTGTCTGTCTGGCGTGTCTGATTGCTCAGTTGACGTGCCGCGTCCCCTACAGCGACCAAACCAATGCGCAGATCAAAGTAAGCGCATCGGTCACGACACACACATACACATACACTTCATCAGTGAGTCCCTCCCTCCTTCATCATCTCAGCAGTGTATTTGTCTGTCTGTCTGTCTGTCTGTCTGTCCCCTGGTCGATCATTCCATTGATGCGATGCGATGCGATGCGATGCGATGCAGGGTGCGGTGGGCTGGGGCGGCGACCGACCCGCCGAGCTCGAGGCGCCCGACCCCATGAAGATCCTGGTCACTGCATGCCTGCGCGACAACCCCGCCGAGCGGCCCACCTTCGAACAGATTCTAGACTACCTGCACAAGCTGCACGAGGCCGCCAACTCGACCGCTGAGGACGCCCTCATCACCTTCATGGACGGGCCGTGAAGAAGGAGTCCATTCTCAGTGGGGAAGGGGGGGGCAGTGGGGGTGTGTATGTATGTGTGTGTGTCAGACACACGGACAGATGAGTAGGTGGTAGGGATTGTGCTGTGTGGTGTGTGTGTGGGAACAGTGCGTGTGTGTATTTTTTGCGATGCATGTGGTGTTTAATGAATCAGCAGTAGTGCACACGATAGCTAATGCGTCGCTTATCCTCCACACAGACACACTCACACGCATGCACGCACAGCTCCTCCGTGTGAGTTCATGATTGTCCCACATAAACGAAGATATAGACACGCACACACATACACACACACACAGACACACATACGTCCATACCGAAGAACCTACCGCACGCAGGCTTCCCTAGCTCCACTAAACGCCGTGTTGCCATCACATACGTACACAAAAAGCATCCTAATGACTCGTGTAGGAAGGTAGATACACAGACAGAAACCACACACACACACATAAACTCGTACGCAGATACACGAATCACAGAACCAGACAGCTGAAGGGCGGAAGACCCCTTTCAACTACACCCCCTGATTCATTCATTCAGGTCTGTCTCCGTACACCAGCCGATACCGCCCACACAAATCACGCTCCGCCCTGAGCAGATCACTGGGACACATTCGCGCACACACGTGCAGACAGACAGACGGTTAGACAGACAGACAGACACACAGGCGTATGAATGCACAACGCTCATCAATCAACCCATTCCCTCCCTGTCTGTCTGACTCACTTGTGTTCGTCGCCATAGCCCGCAAATTGGTCGCACATGCGTCCTCCCTTGAAGGCTTGGATCTCCCGCTCGATGTCGCCACGCGTGATGCCCTTGGCCTGCACCACAAAGCCACGCCACGCCCACCGTCACGCAACAGCTGACCCATTGGTTCATGACTGTACGTATTTTCGTTTACTTACCGGGTCAGCAGCAGTGATGGCCAGCGTGTTAAAGTGGCCTGGGTCATCCTCCCAGAAGATGGTGGTCGACTTGAAGTCACCCTTTTCGAAGTCCTGCTCGCCTGCATGCATGCATGCATGCATGCACGCATGAAAACAGCCAGCCACGTGCAGAGAATGACTGAGTGCACACCACCCCCGCCTGCCCTGCCCACCGTTGCCATCTCCCCGGGGTGCGCTGGTGAGGATGATGGACGGGAAGGGATACACCACCTCCTGCATGCTCTTCTTACTTTTCGGAGGCGCCTTCTGACCCAGCAACTTCATCTCTGCCAGCATCTCAGGATGAAGGATGGTCGACAGGTCGAAGCTCTGAGGCTCTCCAGCACGGTCGGCCGCCTTGACTTCCGCCAACACCTCCTTCAGCCGCTTGTCGTAGTCCACAGGACGGGGCGAGCCCTTCGGCCGGGGCACCTCCTTGTCCGGCTGGGCAGATGAGCTCATGCTACACCACAATGACCGCTGTCCAAGGTGCAGATCGCAGGCAGATCTGCCTTCCTGAGCTCGCATGCTTCCGAAGATGATGGAGGATTCATCGGAGGACGGCAAGACCTTCCGGCTGATCATCCTGATCGTCTTCTGCGTCATCATCGCCGTATGCGGCGCCGCATGTCAGTCAGTGCCACAAAGCGCACACACCTCGCCAATGAATGAACGTCTGCATGCATTCTTGTGTGCAGGTGCGGTGTGCTGCTGCTTTGTCTGTCCGCCGTTGATAAGGTTCAAGCAGTATAGCGACAGGAGGGGCGGCATACCGGCGGGCAACATAAAGGGCGGCGGGGCGGGCGGTGTGGTGGCGCTGTCTGTGCTGTTGGGCAAGCCGACCAGCAGAAAGCCGCCGGACCACCAGCACAACCACAACGACAACCAGCAGCCTGACAGGGCATCGACGAGCGACACTGCAGCGGTGGACGTGGAGTGAGTGGGAGACCAACCAGCAGTAGCACTGCAGCACGGAGGTTAGGTTGTGTACAGCGGCTGGCTGGGTAGATGGATGGATGGATGGAGGGCTGCACGCAAAGAGCCTTCTTCGTGTTGGCGGGGGCGGGTGTGTGGGCGATGGATGTACATACGCTGTCGTCAGACTGATGCGTACCGTACGGACACGGCTGAATGAAAGCTCTCTGGTCTGTCCGATCCATGCTGTTGATTGACACGACAGACACCCACACAGAGTCGGTCGGTCCGTCGCAACCTCAGTCAGTGGCGCACAGAGACACTCATGTGACTGACCAACCACCATCCCACCGACACAAAGACAGACAGACAGACAGACAGGCACATCGTAGTAGGTAGGTACATTACAGCTGCCGAGCAAACGAAACCAACGATTGATGCAGCAAGCAGCGCACACACACACACACACACACACACACAGCGACATTGAAGGAACGAAGGAAAGGGCGAAGGAAAGCCTTATCGATATTATGGATGCTATGGATGGATGGATGGATTGACGGCATTGAATCAACCAACCAATCAATGAAAACAAGGAAAAGGCAAGGCAGAGCAAAGCAAAGGGGAGAGGGTGTGAGGGGGTCAGTCAGTGAGTGAGCGTAGCCACATCGATGTGTGCTGCCATCGCATACCAAGATGGCAGAAAAATAATCACACATAAACACATAAGCACCACGACAGGGGGGAGGGAGGGAGGGAGGGAGGAGATAGCAAACAGACGGAGAAAAATAGAGCGGTCGTCACGACGTCCCTCATGGCACCCATAGCAGCGCACACACGGAACGAACGAAGAGCCGACACGCGCTCACATACAGACAAGACACTCACACACACAGGTAGACACTCACTCACTCATGTCATGGATAGGAGCGTTATCTATCTATCTATCGGTCTGGCGCACACACACGTGCACACGAATCAAGGTAGGTAGTGTAGGCATGTATGTATGTATGCAGGTAGGTATGTATTGGAAGGCGGGCGTGGGTCGGTACGATAGATATGCGATGCCTATTGACCCGCCCGCCTCCCTCCCTCCCTGTGTGCAATCGATCGTCACACGGAAAAAAAGGTAGGTGACCCTCTCACACGAACCAACCGCAGCATCAATCAAAGTAGAGTAGAACATATAACCCTCACACCCACACACGCACACGCAGGCAGACAGACAGACAGACAGCCTGGTGAAAAACAGACGATCAGCCGGCACCCCGGGGAGCCCTCGCAGCCCTCTCGGACACGCTTTGCACATGGACTTGAAACCAACACATACATACATAGGATAGATAGCCATACACCACACCACAAGAGAAAGTACTTACTTGGGCTCATTGATGATGACATAGGCACCCACCGCATGTGTGTATGTATGTATGTGTGCAGGCACTCCAAAATCGCCTCAGCGAACGATTTGCAGCTAGCTACATAGGATAGCTTGCCCTCACCCAGGTGTGCACACCGTGCCGCACCATTGAGGGAGAAAAATGAGCAGCGATTGAGAGTAGCCCCCCCCCCGTGTGTGGGTATGAAAGTGACAAGGGTATGAATTGCCGCCCGGCTGGCAGGCAGGCCGACAGGGCGTGGCGTCTGGCTGGCTGGTGTGGCATGGCACGGACACACACGCAGAGACACACACGCACAAGCACCACGAGAAAAATGGAGAGAGTCAGTGTGTGCATGTGGGTGTGGTGTGTGTGGTGTACGTGTGTGTGTATCGGTCGGTAGGACAGATAAAGTTTGATTGTATGCTCTCTTGTACACTCAGACAGACAGACAGACACTCAAAAAACATACACACATACACACGTACATACATACACACCGATGGCAATGTCTAGCACTATCCCACCCGCTCTCGCACACCCGTCCTCCCTCGCTGTCTGGCGGGTATGACTTCACTGACTCTCACGCGAAAAACGCCTCAGCGCGCCCTCTCTGCTCTCTGCTCTCTCTCACGTCACCACGACAGCACGCGAATCCATTCGGATGCACACACACATGCATGTGATGTGCATGTGTGTCCGTAGGTACGTAAGCGTGTGTGTCAGGATCTCCTGCTCGCATCGGAGCGATCCCATCCCACCCAATCAGCGGACACACACACACACACACACGACGTGAGTGCGTCATTCTCGCCTCCCTTCCTCCCCCCTTCTCACTTGAACAGTGAAGTGTATGCAGAAGCGATAGCAGCCTCACTCATTGGTACTTAGGTACGATTGTGTGGTGTGTGTATGGACGAGGAAAAATCACAGCGCCATATAACAGACAGACAGACAGCCATCCAGACATTTCTACAGGTCAAAAATCATCAGGTGCGTGCGCTGACCAGCCGCACGGCAGAAGAGCGAGAGAATACGATACGCCGACATAGAGAGAGGCACAGACAGAGAGAGAGAGAGAGAGAGAGATGGCGTGATGTGGAGACAGAGAGAGGGAAAAGAAGTCTCAACAAACTCGTATATTGGGGTGCGGTGCGATGTGCATAGGCACACCGGCCGGCCGACATGAATGCAATGCGTGCCTCTTCCCTCCCTCCCTCCTCTGTGGATGCCTGCCATCATCACGGTAGGTACCTACAGATAGAGGCAAGGAGTGTCAAGTAGATACGATAGATACGTAGAGTGCGAAAAAACAGCTAACCCCCCACGAGAAAGCGCAACACACAGCCCCACCCACAGCAGTGTATCCACCCATCCCATCCATCCGTTCTTGTTTGTGTGTGCCCATGTCGCGGAGTGCGACAATGCCATCCGCATGGAACTAGAGTGGCTGACACGAGTGTGCCCGGATCAGTCACCCTTGCGTGAGGACAGCATCGGCGGACTGCGAGACACATTCACACCAACCACCACCACCACAAACAAGGACAGCAAACCCACGAGGGTGTCTTGTCTCGCCACGGCATCCCACGCAAGGTTGCCAAGCTGGCTGGCTGGCTGGCTGTGCGTGTCCTGCGTCCATGCGTGCTGTGACCACCGCGCTGGGATACCGACCAATGAACCCCGACAAGTGTGTTGTTGGTGCCACTGGTAGGCAACCTCGCGCAGACGGTCACAGCCATGCAATGCACATGGAAGGACACGACAGATAGATCAGCAAGCAAGTGAAAACAAACAAAGCGCAGCCAGTGATCGATCTCCGCCCGCCTCCATTCCCTCCCTCCCTCCCTCCGTTTGTAGTGCAACCCAGCCCCCCACACGCCACGCCACGCACATTACATACATAATGACACACACCACACACCACATGCCGTGCCGCATTCGCGGGATGCACCACACATCAACACATACACACACGCGCAAGAGGCCTCTCTCTCTCGTAGCATAGCACAGCGCAGCGCAGCACAGAGGTAGTCTGTGGGCACGTAAGCAGACAGGTAGATAGGAGCGTTATGTGTCTGTCGGTATGCATCCAGGTAGTAGGTATGTACGCAGCCACGCACAAGCACATGAGCAGCGGCCTGTCTGTCTGTCCAGCTCGTCTTCTCTCCTCTCGTCAGTCATCTCTTGGAGCACAACCCTCCCTCTTTCTCTCTCTGCGCGTCACGCTCTCCCCTCCAAAACGGGTCGACTCGCTACTCATCAGGTCGCATGGCTGCTCTCATCTCATTCTCTCCCTCTCCCTCTAGCTCTCCGTCTGTCTGTCTGTCTGTCTCTCAGATCTGCACGGTCTTCTCTCTCTCCCCCCCACCCACAGCAGATGGTGCCGGAGCAGCAGGCGCCAGCTCAGGGGTGCTGGTGGGTGTGCACGGCGGGCTGGTGGGCGCGTTGCTGCTGGGGGCCACAGTGGTGGCGTACGACGACACGCCCACACCCACATTCACACCGGCAGCATCACCAGTAGCCTGATTTGCCTTTGCTGCTGCTGCTGCTGCTGCTGGTGGTGGTGGTCCTGCTGGTGCCACGGGTGTTGGTGCGATCAGGGGTGGTGGATGCACAGCAGCGGCCGGGATAAACACACCCATGGGCATCGGTACGTACATCCCAGCAGCAGCATGGGGCAGCGGCAGCGCCCCCTTCGGCCTGATCGGTGTGAGCGTCTTGGTCTTCGACTGTGCGGGAGAGGGGGCAGGTAAGAGGTGACGCTGGCCGGGCCTCAGCGGCGGGCCCGGGAAGATCATCCCCACTCGCAAAGGGAAGGGCGATGCGAAGGGCAGGCGCAGCGCTGCTGGCGGGATTGGGAGGGTGAGAGAGCCCGGGGTGGGCTGGACGGGAGCCGATGGGTTCACGGGGTTGGGCTGGGCACCGAGGGGACGGCTGCCGGCAGCAGTGATGGTGGTGGTGGTCTTGGCGGCGCCACGAGAGCGGCGGATGAGGGAGTTGAAACGGTTCTTGACCTGGTTCTCAGTGCGACCTGACGGTCAGAAGGATGCACATCACATCACACATGGGGTGAGGTGGGTGGAGAAAGAGATGGTGAGAGAGGGGGAGTTCGTTCGGTTTGCTTACCGACGAGCTCCTTGGCGATGGCCGCCCATCTGTTGCCGAGGGCGCGTTGCTTCCTGAGGATGATCTCGTCTTCGGTGGCCTTCCAGCCGCCCTTTCTGATGCGCGGGTCGCAGTGGTTGTGCCATCGCTCGCGACACTGCTTCCCTGCACACATGAACACACATACACAACGGGATTCATGACGTGTGTATGGCGTGGTGCTGTGCTGTGCTGTGGTGTTCGTTTGCTGACCGGTGCGTCCCTCGAAGCCGTCGATGCCTGCACCCATCTGCTCGTTCATCAGCTTGGCGATCTCGGTCCATCTGAAAGAGCGGCACAGCGAGTAGAGTACTCACACAGTAAGGCCATCTGTGGGGTCGGCATTACTTGGAGGAGCCATGAATCCGGACGAGCGACGCAAGCAGCGCTTCCTCCTCAGGAGTCCACTGACGACTCTGAAGGCGGCACACACCACATGGCAAAACAGGGCCATCCATTCATTTGTCCATCGCTCGACGCACTCCTTCTTTGCTGCCCTAGCTCTCTCCCTGACGTACCTTGCTGTCGGGCATGGTGAGGCGTTTCCACCTCGCCCGGCACTCGTCGTCATTCCGACCACTCCCCAACATGTTGGCCACCTCCACCCACAGCTTCTCCATCCCACACCCACACGCATCGCGGCACCGGCACTCCAGCCGTTTCCGCCGCGAGCCAGGGCCGGCTAGACGCTCAACGACCCCCAGAAGCCGCTCGTCGTGCGACTTGGTCCACTCCAAGGGCACTGGAGCCAGGTGGGGCTCGCGCTTGATGATGTGGGGGTGGGGGAGGGGAGGGGGGAAGGGCGCGTGGGTTTGGTTGTGGGTGTTGTGGACGCCGCCGTGGCTGTGTGTGTAGGTGGGGGGCATTGTGAGGGGCCATTGGCAGTGCCGCATGGCGTTGCTGCTGCTGCTGTGGGGACAGCTGGGCGAGTGAGCACGGGCCGGGCGCTGCCTAGTGCACTGGATGTTGTTGCTGTTGTTGTTGCTCTCGCCATCGTGCTGCTGCTCTTGCTGCCGCTCTCTCTTGATCTCTGTCTTGACCGGAAGAGGTCCCACAACGCTCTCCCAGCCCTCCCCGTCGATGCCGTCCGCACTGATAGTCCGCCTCCGGGCGGCCTCACCCTCGCCCCCATCTGTCGCCGCACACTCGCGGCACGCACACGTGGCCGGTGGCCCATAGCCGTACACGAGCCCCTGCTGACCGGTGGTCTGCACCGGTGATTGGGACGGAGAGGACCAGCAGCCGCCGTGGGAGCCGTCGAAGGCGCCGTGATGCTCATGGCCGCCAGTCTGGCTGTCGGCCAGTGTGTGTGGGTGTGAGTGGGGGGCGAATGGGTGTGGGTGCGGGTCGGGGCCAGGCACAGGGAGGGACTTGGCACGCATGACGGCGACCGGATCATGGTGTCCGTGATACGATGACGGCGGGGGGAAGAATGGCGGGGTGGTGGGGTTGGTGGGGGGCTGGGGGGTGTTCTGCGACACGCTGTCGGACAGGTCAGTCAGCGGCGGCGGCATATCGTGGTAGTCGACCCCGGCCGGCTCGTTGTGGTGGCCCCTGGAGTCTTCCACCGGCTCTTGCTTGACAAAGATCCCATCTTGATACGACATGCCGTTGGCATCCTCATGGCTGCCCCTCGAGTGCTGCCTGTCGTTGTGGTCCAGTGGCGGCAGCAGAAACGGCACGGAGAAGGCCGAGTCGTCGGAGGAGCCCGTGTTGAGCCGCGGCCGCCGTCTGGCATAGTGCATATGGGAGGATAAGTGGCCGTCGATGCCGTCCATGAGGCTGTCGGGGTCTGAGAGAGTTGAGAGGCCTCGTGGGCGTTTGCCGAGCAGCTGGTAGGACGGGAGGGTCTCGTGATCGTCCCATGATGGTGCGCCTGGCCCGACGTGCCGGTCATGAGAGGCGGAGGAAGTGCCGACCTCCTCCTTGATCGATGGGAGGAGCGATGATGACGCCACACCTGACGAACGACACACAAAGAGCACACGCGGTGTGAGTGACACGCAGATCAAAGCCCTCCCACAGCCACCCACGTGGTGTCCTTCCTGCCTCTTTGCTGCCTGTCTCGCTCTCACCATGGCCGCCGAAGGCACCAAAGCACCCGAACGAGTCGCCGCAGGCCTCTCCGTCGATGCCCATCATGGTCATGCTGCCCGACCGTCCGTCGTCGCCCCGCAATTCAAAATGAAGGTCCTCCACCGACATGGACGACACGATGGGCACCACACGCGTGTCGCTGGCTCCTGCATCTGCGGCATGGGAGCCCTTCAGGATAGACATCGAGAGATCAGCAGGGCCGCTGGCGGCGTGATGAGACGCGGCGCGAGAGTGGTTGCCTTGGGAGTGCGTGAGCAGATCCATGCTAGTGGGAGCAGCAGGACCCGCCTCGCGAGAGGGAAGAACAGAAAACGAAGGGATGGAAGATCTGCACGAAAGCTCGCACCTCAAGGAGCAGGCGGCCTCTCTTCTCGAGCAGCAGGAGAGTGTGCTCATCCGGCGTTGTCGTCCTCAAGCTTCTCTTGCAAGCAAGGCGTGCAGATCTCACCAAGATGGATGTGCTGTCAGACACCTTCACGACGCTGGCAGCGGCTGTTGAGGTACTGTGATAGACCACCCATATCCCCGTTCTGACGTCTGACTTGTGTGTGCAGGCTGCTGGGTCTCAGGTCGGCGTGCCCATCACTGCGGAGATATCTCTGGCTGTGGTGCTGCTGGCCGTCCTCTGTACTCTGCTCGTCATCGTCTCACGTGAGAGAGCCTGCCACCGGCGCAGCACAACCATGCATTTGTTTGCACTGTGTGTTGGTGTTTGGTTTGGTATCTTCAGTTGCTCGGAGCCTTCGTAAGGGCACTCGTCGCCTTTCTCGAGGAGATCTGTTGCTCATCGCCGGCCAGTGCGACGCCGGCAAGACGGCACTCTTCCACTACGTGAGCTGGACAGCAACACACACATCCCATCCCGCGCCGCCTGATGCCGCGTGATACTCTCCTATCGTGTGGTGTGTGTTGTGTGTAGTTGCGGTCTGGTGACTTCCCTGAGACGGTTTCGTCACTGAAGCCGAACACCGACATCATCAACGTTCTCCACAAGGTGGGCAGAGCTAGACAGATACAGAAACACCAAGCACGTCGAGCAGATGTGTGTGCATCCATCGTGTGCGCACTCTGTCTGCAGGATGAGGGCGACGCGTCGAGCAGCGGCGGCGGCGGTGTTGGTGGAATAGAGGTGTGCGACTACCCCGGCCACCAGCGGCTCAGTCATGGCTTCTTTGGCCACCTCAAGCGGGCACGGTGTGTCGTGTATGTCATCGATGCGACCGACAAGGCCGCACTCAAAAACGTCGCAGAGTGAGGGAGGGAGGCAGGGAGAGAGAGAGGGAGGGTCTGGAAGAATGGAAAATGCAGGGTACACGCGTCGTGTGTGTGTGTGTCATCAGGCACTTGTATGAGATCTTCACCCACCCGGCGACCAACAAGCTGCGGCCGCCACTGCTGCTGGCGTGCAACAAGAGCGACGTGCCGACAGCCCGCAAGCCTGACATGGTCAAAGACGACATTGAAAGGGAAATGTAAGCCTTAGACACACACAGCAAACCAGACAGATAGGGAGAGAGTGTGGCCATGTGCGCTGTGTTGCTTTCTTGGTTGGACTGATCAGCGAGCGTCTGCGTCAGTCCCGGAGTGCGACGCTGGAGGGTCAGGACGAGGCTGACAACTACCTGGGTGTGGACGGGGAGACCTTCAAGCTCGACATGGCGCCATGCAGAGTGGTGAGTGAGTGAATGAATGAATGAATCAATGCACACACACACACACGTGGTGAAGGCACATACACCGACAAGGGTGTTGTGTGTGTGGCTGTGTGTGTGTTTGTCAGGATATGTGTCGCATGTCTGTCAAGAAGGCCGAGGTGCAGGACGTCATCAAATTCCTCGCGGACAACTACCGCTAATACTCATTAGACGCTGAGGCAATTAGTCGTTGCGTGTCAATTTCTGTACAGACAGACAGACGGACTGACATTCTATCTCTCTTAAGCTTGAATTGAGTGACGTGCTTGTTAAGCAAACAAACAAACAACACCATGGCAGTGCTTGTCCTCTCGTTGCTGCTTCTGGTGGGAGGTGCCACAGCTGCAGTTGCCACACACTCACTCCGGCACAACACGCCATACGTCAAGACCACAGGTACGTCACGTCTCTGACACTTCTTCTTTCTACCGTTCATTCATTCATTTGTCGTGGATCCAGGCCTCAAGGCAGTTTTGGTCCACGCAGGAGACACGGCTAAGCTGCTTTGCGCGCACAACGGCGCCACTGACATGCAGATCCACATCGTCAAATCAGAATACGGCACACCACGAGTGGGAGCACAGAGACAGACACGCTGTAAAGAGACACGCCATCGATGTGTGTCAGGTGGACCACGACACCATCGTCGCCGGCTCTTGTTCTGCGCCTCATGCGCTCATGGCGGCTCGAGAGAAGTGCGAGGGAGCGCTGACGTGTGACATCGTTGTGAGGGACGAGGCGTTTGGCATCAGTGGAGCCTCGTGGTGCCCGACACGATTCACCCGACTGGCTATTGTGTATGAGTGCACAAATGGCGACATCACGCGCTTCTATCCTGCAAGTAACAGCAGCCAGCACCACACACATGAACGTGCACATGAGACTGTCTGCCTGTCTCTCTGTATCTTTCAGAGGATCTCCGCGCCCGCAAGCTTGTGCCAGCCGACAAGAGCTCATCGCTGCTCCACTACAACCCTCTCATCCACTCAATCCCGGCGACAGACCAGGTGATGCCCGACACCAAGGGCGAGTACCTGCGCCTTCCCGACATCTTCACCCCGTGCACCGAGCGCGACACCATCCCGACGAAGGCGCCGATCGTATGGGCACGAGAAAGCGAAACACACCCACATGATGGACACGGTCTTGGTTCATTTTCTGGTCTTTTGGTTGTCTTTATAGCATCTGTGGATGGTGCCAAGCACACGTGCGATGACAATCCGCTGTGCCGATTCTTTATTTTCAATGCCAACAATGCCACACTGTGCAAGTGGGTATCCATACGCCGTCACACGAAGGCATGTGGATACACGTGTGTCGCCGTGTGAATGGCTCTATAGGGGCACGTCACTCGACGGCTCGGAGCACAGAGACAAGGCGGAGACGCACATCAAGGGCACAGCGGTCATTGATGGCATAGACGACTTCGATGGTCGACTCAACCATCAAGTAGGCAGCATGGAGACCACACACATAGGGTGTTCGGCTGTGTGTGTGTTCATCTAACGCGATGGCTGCGTGTGTGTCCGTCTTCGTGCAGGGAATCTGTGAGGATGAGGACATCATCTCAGACATGCCGAATGTTTTCGATTTCAACACTGCCGCGTCCATCTGCAGAGCCAATGCCGACTGTGCGTCATTTACCCTCTCATCCTCCGTTGGACTCAAGAAGCAGTCTGGGTTTGCGAACCACCTGTGGCTGTGCAAGGCTCCACTGCACCCAGTCCCGCACAGCGGATGGATCGCGGCGGGCAAGCTCCACCAAGGTACATCGACACACAGACGCACACTCACTTCGCTTCGCACCATCCATCTTCTCTGTGTGTGTGCAGGATTGGTTGGCCAAGGCCCTCGACCCTACCTGGCCAACGGCTTTGCTGACGGACCAGTATCGCTGCGTGCATGAGGGGCGGCAGATGGAGTTGCTGAGAAATGCATGGTGTACTTGGCCTGACAAACGACTGCCAGACGAATACTGAGATGATCCATTCAACGTTATCTTCATGTCATGTCATCTGTTCGGTTGGTCTCTTCATGTACGTGTTCAACACTTGCGAAGCGGGCCTCTGAAAAATCTCTGAACATACGTGCGCAAAAACCATCACACGCGTCGTATAAATGGCAGCCAGCCTGGTGTGTTCATGCCCAGTCGGCTCTGCGGGGGCATGGGTGTAGTACTAGTCAGAACTCGTGTGAATGTGTGTCTCGGCTGCCTCGTCACTCATTACACACACGCGCCACTCATGAACGCATCGACGGACGAGCGATCGACGGGTACGCAATATAGACAATACAGAGCACTCCTGCCAGCCAGCCAATGTACACGTGAAGAAAACGGGTGAAACGCTTCGTCGATCGCAGGCACGCTCATGCAGAAACGCCCAGATACAGGCACGCAGCAGACAAACTGCACCATAGGCCGGCATCCACACAACAAAAAAACCCCTCCCCGCAGGTGATGTTCACATATGCATCATTCACATGTCTGCCCGCGGCCCTCTGATCGACTGCATGGTAGCAGCCGAACGAGCCATAGGGCATACGAAGAAACAGGGAGAGAGAGAGGTCATCTTTTCTCATGCATTCATCCACTCATCCACCCGCACCAGCCACCAGCATGAAAGCACGCACCGACATGAAAGCACGCAACGACAAAACTCGTCGTAGCTTTACCCACCCCACCCTATCGACAGGCCAACACCTGTGGTGTATCACGCTCTCCTTTGCTAACCACCCGTCCTGCCCGCCCCACAACCCCATCCAATTCATGACTTCCCGACGCCATCCAGGCAGACAGGCACCCGACAAAACACGCCATGGACATGCAGCAGCAAAGCTTTCTCACTGCTCGACACGCCCCGCGTCACCCAACAGACCATTACACACACCGTTACACACAAACACAAAGTACATAGGCGGCCAGACACCCCCCAGCCATCCCCTCCCAGCAGCCAAGTCACTCCTGGTACACATATGTGTAGGCGTTGTAGTCGGGCGGGAAGGGCTTCCGCAGCGCGTCGTGGGTCTGGATGGGCCCGCGCCTCACACACAGGGGGGCGGGGGGCAGCGTCAGGGGGGCGGCGTCCAGTGGGGCCACCGAGTCGGAGCCGTCAGCCAAACGAACCGTCACGCCTGAAACAAGCAAATCACAGGAAGGAATGCCTATGAGGTGCGTTTTCTCTTGCTCTCTAACTTTCTCTCGTGCATACCTGCATTGCTGATGACGGCACAGAAATAGCCGCTCTGGACGTTACGCACCCGACCGGCGCCAACACGCCTGGCGTACTGCCGCTTGACGTCATCGAACACCACACTTGAATGGGAGGATCCGAGCGTGGGATGGTGCACCTGAAAGAAACACCACACACAACAGAGAGGGAGCACGTGTGAGTTGTCAGCCATGCCATGCATGTGTGTAGGCGACCCACCCACCCACCCACCTCGAAAGTGGCCGTTGCGCGTTCGATGTCGACAGTAACGTCCACGTGGCAGCCCGTCACCAGAGCGGGCAACGGGGCGATGCCCTCGACCTTGGACACCTTGTTCGCCAGCCGCTTGCAGATGTTGCCGCTCTTGTTAAGGTACACCGAGTACAGCTCGTGCAGCCTGTCACGTGGGTAGAACTCGTCCGCCAACACGAAGCCCAGCCCATCCGCGCGGCCGGGCTCGCCCGCAATGATGGAGTAGCGGTAGTGCAGCACGCCGCCGCTGGGCTGCCGGCGGATGGACTGCTCGTGGACGATCGACGTGACGCCGTCCTCCCAATTCTTGGTGAACACCTGCCCGTCGACCGACAAGTAACCTGACACACACAGAGAGACCTATGAGTGAATGTGTTCTGTTCTCCCCGCCCGCATACCGATCTTCATGGCGTTGCGGCTCCAGCAGGTCCGGACAGCAGTGTGCTGTGGCGTGTCGACAGTTGTCGACCCCGAGCAGTTGGAACTGCCCCCGTGCACCGCCCCCCTGCCCGCCTCGGCATGACTCCTCTCGGTCGGCACCTTGAGGATGGCGATCTTCCTGTTGCCCTCAGACGGGGATGGCATCCAGTACGACGACGGCGACGCGTCGCCACCGCCGTTGCCGGCCCCCGCCGACCCCATCTCGCTGTGTGCGGCCTCTGAGCTCATGATGGTGGTGGTCTGCTGCTTATACACGGGCGGCCGGTCTTGCGAGTTGAGGCGCTCCAGGTTGGCGAAAGTGAGGTGGGGGTTGGGCTGATGCACAGGCAACTCGAACTTGTCGTCCTCATGCTGCTGCTGCTGCTGGTCTTCATGACCATGATGGTCCTGGTCCTGGTCGTGTGTGTGGGTGTGGTTGTCGTGGTTGTCGGGGGTGTTGTCCTCGAACTCGTCGCCATCCTCGTTGGCCTCGCCCTCCTCCTCTTGCACGGGGCGAAGTTCACACCGACGCTTGTGACGACGCAACTGCTTCCTGAGCATACACGCAGAGGAGCAGAAGTTGAATCGTGCATTGCTCTGCGTGTGTGTCATCTTCTCTGCGTGCATACCCAATCCCGGAGAAGCCACAGCCGAACGGACACACGCGCGCTTTTGATGGATCGAGTGGCCTGTGTGTCCGCACACAGCCGTCCCCCCCGTTGGCCAGGGAGGTGACGCACTCGAGCACGCGAGCCATCTGCTCGGGTGTAAAACGGTCGAGGGCCTGTGAGACGGCCACCATCACTTCATGCTTGGTGGGGAGGGGCTGCTGGGGGGACGGGGGAGGGGGAGGGGGCTGGTGGGTGTAGCTGCCGCCATAGCCGCCGCCATAGCTGCCGTACATGGCCGACACCTGCACGCACACACATACAGAGAGGGCACACGCAAGGTATGAGTGTCTGTGTGTATATACACTCGGCGAGTGGCGTGTCTGCCTGGCGCACCGGTGGCGTTGTGTTCTTGTCACTGACAACACCAGGAATAGCCAACGGCATACCTGAAAGACAAACACACATGCAAAGACGCCAATGCATCACAGCGTATCGCTCTTCCCTTCCTGCTCCCTGCGAGAGCCCTCCCACCTCCTCACCTGCCATCTGCCCGCACACGGCGGGGCTCTGCTTCGCGTATGGAAACGGGTACACGCCGCTATGCTGAGTGTGCATCGTTACGATGCGCTCCTCAAAACCAGTGATGCTCAGACAGACACTTGGCACCAGGGAACTGCTCACGAGAGCCCTGACTGAGGCTCGTCAGGGGATGATTGACGCAACAGATAGAAACTGAAATCTCGCTGACGCTAGGCGCTGCGCTCGAATCGTGAAAAACGCGGTCTGTGAGGCGTGACGTGGCGAGGCAGGACGGCACCCTAGATAAACTGCCGTAAAACCAAACTGCGAGCTTAGAACAGCGGCGCCTCCGATTTTGCTTCTGCGCTTTCCCATCACCCGAGGGCCTCTCAACGATCCGTCGATTCGCTTGCTTGCTCTGCGGAATGAAGTCGTGGAGCCTTGTTATCGCTCCCTGCCTGCTCTTGTGTGCATCTATCGCTCATGCCTTCACTTTCTCCAACCCCGCCGCATCAGCAGGGGCCAGCTCTCGCCTATTGCCCCGAAACATCATTGCTCGCCGCGCCCCAGCAACAGCGCTCGCAGCAGAGACCACGTAAGAGACTCTGCACGCACAGCGAGATTCCTCCAGATCCACCGATTGCTTGTGCGTTGTCTTGTGTCGTGCTGTGCTGTGTGGATCAGCCTGACGCCTCCCGAGGGCTATTGGCAGGGCGAGTGGGTGTGTGCCGACTGTGGTTACATCTACGACCCATCGCTGTTCGGCAACAAGTGGTTTGAGGACCAGGGTCCTGGCTTCAAGTGTCCGCAGTGCCAGGCGCCGAGGCGGCGGTTCGCCAAGAAGGTCGGCTCGGTCGTGGGCCAGAAGATCGGCGGGGGCGACGCCCCAATTGTCATCTTCAGCGTACGCCTCACACAACAGGCCACCCACACAGACGGGACACGTATGGCGTGCATCGTTTGTCTGCTCGCTGTGTCTGCGTGTGTTCGAGTGCAGTTTCTGGGACTCGCACTTGTGGTCGCTGCAGGTAGGTACACGAGGGACGGAACAGAGATTGAGCAGCACTGTGCCATGTGTCCGTCGATGCCATCTTTGCGTTCTGTGTGTGCAGCTGTGTGGGCTACGTATGATTTCCCCGGCCTGAATCTCTAACTAAGTTGACTGATTGATTGATGGGCCTACGGCTGGCGAGTGGTGCGCGGCATCTCGCGATCAGAGCAGTCGGCAGCTCCTTGATGCGCAGCCAACGGGGTGGTTGACAATATCTTTGTGCACACCGTGCTTTGTGGGGCTGCCTGTCGTCACGTTGGGTGCGTGCGAGTGGGACAGACACTCGTGTCACCACATGAACCATCGCTGTCATTGAACGAGACCTTTCGTCAGTCTCGTGTAAAAGCGATTTCGCTTAGACGTTTTAAGTGATAACCAACAGGAAGGAAAGGAAATCAGTCCGCGTTATGAGTCTTGTACATTGATGAATGAATGCTTGGTGGACGCAGTCCACTGCCGCCTAGGGTGTTCCATGAAACCGCTGCTGATCGGCCGACACATCATTTCACCAACATCACACATCCGGTGTTCGACCGACGGCTGCATCGCCTCTCCCATCATCGCTGACTGACTGATATCGGGTGAGCGAAAGATCACCGCACACGCACCAGTGGCGTGTCTTCATCGTTCGTGTATCTGTGCTCTGGGCCGTGTTTCCACCAGCACACGTAGGGAAGCACAGCGGTTGCTTTGTCACCAGCACACGTAAGGAAGCAAACAAGGCGTTCTGTGCACACCCCGTCACGGCGTTGTGTGTCGTTCGGTCTACAGATATCTCACTGATGGCGTCCAGCTCTGTTCCCTCTCTGTGGGCCATCTCACTCGAGAAGGCATCACACTTGCTCGACGACCAATCCGTCAAGCGTCCGGCAGTCCTCTCCCAGATGGACAAGCAGCCGCCCACAGAGATCCCCAAAGGCGTCACCCTGCCGGTCGTCCTGCAGCAGCGCATCGAGCAGGCCATGCAGTACGACGACCTTCATGCAGTGTTGGCCTTCGACATTCGTGACGTGGCGGGGGCCATCAAGGCTGCCTACGTGCTGGAGCGATGCAGCGGCCAGTGGACGATGATGAAGCGCTTTATCCGCCTGGCCTTCATCCACCGGCTCACCCCTCCCAATGCCACGCTTCCCCTCATGCTGTCGGCTGACGCGCTGCCCAGCGCTTCAGCCTTCGATGAGCTGCCACTCAGTATGGCCGTCTACAAGAGCATCGAACGCACGCTCAACTATCGGGGGACGACCCTCGTGCTGCAGAGAGGCAACAACTGTGGCTATCGGATTGGCGACCATTCCTTTCGTGTGATGGCGTTGGATGAGCTGCCGGCCGACCATCCCTACCGCAGCAGATACAAGGAGAGCGATCCCGTCATCCGCTGGGGTGACTTCACCTTCCCATCGTCCACGGCATTCCTCACGTGGATGATCCTGGTGCAATGGTGTGCTCAAGAGGGGGTGGAGAAAAGACAGCTGGCCAGTGTTTATGTCTGGCGTGGTGACAGCCGCTACCAGTCCCTGCTGACACTTGATGACATCCCCGAGGCCAGCATGATTATCGACTACATGGATGAGCATTCGTCGCCGATCGATGACGCCCGTCGGCGACTGATTCTGCTCAGGGGAACAGCTCCGACCGACACCGTTGCGGCCTACCTGTGGCTCAGGAATGGCGACATCCGCCTCTACACGACCGAGCGTGACACTGCTGCGGCCGCCCGCCCTTTGCTGGCCAGACATCGGCTGGAGCAACAAGTCCTCGGACATGTGCGGGGGGCAGAGTGAAGGAGAGTCGGCGTGACTGTCTTCTCGTTGGCTTGTGTGTGCAACGTCTTCCGGACCTTGATGGAGTGTGCTGATGAGGGTTTGAGAGCGCAGAACTTCAGGGGCGGGGTGTTTGTTTTCTTAACGGAGGTCTGCACGTGTCGTGTCTTCCGGCCAGGTTTGGGACAAGGCCTGACTTGTAGGACTGTGAGACTGTGCGATGTGTAGATAGAACGTCACTGTCTGCCTGTCAGAGTATGTGGATTGTCGCTTTGTCGCTTTTGTTGTTTGTTGATTGTGCTAGTATGGGTTTAGTGATGGGGTTCTGTGCAAAGCGGGATGGTCCATGCCGAGACTGTTGCATCAGTCTTCAACCGTGTCAGTCATTCGTATCAGCACGTTTGTATGTCATCCGCATTCATGCAGCCGACGTGCACCCAGCCCAGCAGCCCAGTCAGCATTCAGTGAGTCCCCTAAACCCACGTCCATACCAGACACACATTCCTATGCACAGTCAGACTGACTGACAGACAGACAGACAACAGACAATGCCGTGAACCATCAATGACACAGAACCAACACGGGCAACAACCGAGCAACATGCAGCGGGTCCAGCCAGTGAGTGAGTCCTCTGAACAAACATCCGCACGCACATTCCCACGCACACAAGATACTTCCATACAGACAACACACACACACACACACACACACATTGATGGAGCGATTGAGTGACTCGTTGACGAGCCGGCTGGCCGGTGAGAATGCGCGGCACCTTGCGTCAGTGTGGCCGGCAGCTGATGTGGTGCGCAACTGGTAGAGATGCGGGGGTTTTCGCGATCGTGTGTGTGTGTGTGTGTCATCGTGTGTCTGGGGAGGATTGGTGGCGCAAGTGAGTGATAAAAGACGTTCATTAACAGAAAATCATGCAATCAGTGTCCTCATGAAAAGTCACACAATCTTGCAATATCAGCTGGTCCGCGCTCCCCCTCCCCCTCCCCCTCCCCTCCCAAGCAAGGGCTGCATGCAGCAAAGACAAGGCACTCTCCTCAACCACGCCAGCACCAACCACGTACACAACCACAACCAGGACCACATGCACATGTACGTCCCTCGTGTATCCGATCCCCAGCAGACCAGTGTGGAAGACATCGACTACTCCCGCGTACCGCACCCGCCTCCATCATACCACACACACACACACACACGACATACAGGCATGCGCCTCGCCGGTCATTGGCGGACGGGTGGATGAACGAGATTCCAGTCTTGAGATCAGACAGACCTGCAGCGGACAGACAAGGCACAGACACAGGGAGAGAGAGGACAGAGCAAAGGACAACTTCAATGACACAGCGGATGCACATGTCGTGAGTGTGCTTGCCTCATCGCTCCTTACGTCAATCATTACGCTCCCTGCCCCGGACGACGACGACGCCGACGAGGAGCACCAGAAACGTCAATGAGAGGCGCCCGATTTCGATCAGGCGCTGGCCAACGCCATCGCTGCCAGTGATGATGCCGGCGGCCTGGAGCCTCTCGTAGATGTCCCTGCCAATCAAGTCCTTGGACATCTCCTGCAGCGCCTTCTGAAGGGTCTTCCCGCTGCGGAGGGCGGGGAGGAGGGCCTGGACCAGAACGGCCTTGCTGGTAGCACCAGCTTCAACGAGCTGGCGGTACTGCTTGTCGCCGACGAGGCTCTCGAGCTGCTTCCGCTGGTCAAACGACATGACGCGGGACTGAGATTGGACTGACGGCACCTGGGTGGCGAGGGAAGAGGAACTGGGGAGATGGCGGTGTGTTGCGAGGGTGGCTTGTCAGGTACCTGTTGGTTGGCACGAGCTGGAGGGAGATGGGGCGAAGAGGCCAGGAGGAGGGGGGTTGCTGAGAGCGAGTTGACAGCCAATCGGTGGCTTTTCTTGTCGTCGGTGAAGTGAACCACGCGAGCGACGTCTTGTCGGGGGAATCGAGCCAGTGGGAATCAAGCACATCGACTCCACAGAAGATCGCGAAAACACCTGCAGCCACACACCAGAGGACAACAGAACCGGACATTGCACGTGGCGGAGGAGAGGAAGCGCCAAAAGCGCCATCCATGGGCCTCATCTGCAGAGGCCGAGATGCCACAACTTGAGTCGCGAGCTTTAGCTCGCACTCTTCGCCATTTCTGTAATGTTGCGGTTTGTGGTGTGGTGGACAGATGCGGCGCGTGGCGGGTGAGCCATGAGGCCGGGGGGCGCCGATCTGCACTGCACTGCAGTGCACGGCGTGCGAATTATGTGCATAACGAACGTGTGCACGACTCGTTGCGCTGGCGAATTGCCTGTGTGTCCAGCTGTTTGTCTGATGATCGGACACGAGACAGACAGGCAGGCAGGCCGGGCTTACTGTGACTAGCTACGTAGTTGGTGTGGGTGTCTTTGCCAGCCAGCCAGTCATCCATTCATCCATTCGTGGAAGAAACACAAACGAACCAACACACCGGCCGGCGAGTCTTTCTTTGTCTGTCTTGCAATCAGGCAGCACACCACACCACAGCACACCACAGCACAGATGGATGGATGGATGGATGTATCGACTCAAGGAGTGAAGCTCTCACCCACGCACCACCTGACTGACTGACAGACACGCATATGTGTGTGTGGGTGTGGGTGTGGTGTGCGTATGTGGGGGGGTGTGTGCAGAGACAGACCAAGAGACCTACTCACGTACACCAAGACAGACACACACACACACACACACAGACAGACACACAGACAGACACACAGACAGGAAAAACGACGACGACGATGAGCACCATAAGAAGTGACGTCAGTGAGAGGCAGCCCAGCCGGCGTGGTGTTGGTCAGACAGACAGACAGACAGACACTCTCTCTCTCTTCTCTCTCGTGCAGTCGGCAGGCACATGTGTGTATACGTATGTATATGGACGTCATGATGTCCAGGAGATCCGTGTGTAGGACGTGCGTACGGTGGCCCTCCCCCCCCGCCCTCTCCCTCGCCCCAGCATTTCACCACACACGACAGGATCACAGCCCTCCCACAGACACACAGGACAAACTGACACATGGACACAGAGACGCACAGAGAGACAGACACATGGACATGCAGAGACACACAGACACAGAGGGAGGCAGACACACAGAGAGCCCACGGACAGCAGCCACATGACAACACTCACCAAGACAGGCAAGACAGACAGACAGACAGACGGACGGACGGCACCCGAACACCATTCGTGTAGCTCACTCAGTCAGTCAGTCAGTCACTCCGCACTCGATGGCACCACCACCCGAACACAACCCGTCCCCTATTCACGGTGCAATCCGCGCAAGGGGGAACGGTAGGGTGTCCTGTCTGGCAGCCCGTGTCCAGTCACGCCTCCGGTCAGGGGGAAGACTGGCGCTGTTTCCCCAGGCACGGGCCCGACTGCCGGCAGCAGCAGCATCGGCTGGGGCAGACGTCCGGTCGCTTGGCCTTCCAGCATACCCCCAACTGCGAAGGTCCGTCTGTGGTTTGCCTCAAAGTGAACGATTTCAACACACGCGTGTAAGGCGATGAAAGGGGAGGAACAGCGTGATACAGACTCGTACTTGTTCTTGGTCCACGCAGTGCCGACGGGAGCATCCCGTCTGGCGCTCACCTGGCACTCCAGGTCAATGGCGGACCGCTGAGCATGTTCGGGAGTTTCCACCACGCCATTTACGTCAGTCCCGATGAAGTCATCCACTACGCGTAAGCCAATGGTGGGACGGTGGGACAGGCGCGTATGTCCATTCATTGGCTCAGTAGGGACGACGGAAGCAAACACAAAGCGCACGTCGACACGTGGACGCTTGAACGGCTCCTGCGCGAGTATGGGGCGACAGACGTGTATCTCATCAGCTACAAGCACCCCACGTGAGCTCCGCTGAAGCCGCACTGCCTCTATAAGGTGGCATTGGGATGAGGCTTGCTGCTGCAGGTTCACCAATGGGGAAATCGTCGAGCGCGCCCGCAGCCGAATCGGCAAAGGCGAATACAACGTCTTCTTCAACAACTGTGAGACCTTCGCCTACTGGTAAGTGGCCTGCTTATATACGATTCTTGGTCTGACTTTTCCTCGCTCAGGTGCCACACGGACAAGGAGCGCTCTGACCAGATGCGTGTCGTCAAAGAGAACGTCAAGAGAGAAGTCAAGAAGTCCGTTCACAGCCTGGCGGATGAGATCGTCCGGGGTGGCCTGCCGACGAGGGTGATCCCGATTCAAAAGGTGCTCGCCAGGCTTTTTCGCTAGCTGCCGTGCTTTTCCTCTGAGCCCTCCATGCCTCCATGTGTGTGTGGGGTTTGACTGTCTCGTGCCTGCTTAATGCGTAAGGTAAGCGATGTGTTGGCTGTCTGAATGGTTCAAATTCTGCTGTGTCCCGCTTGCGTCTGTGCTTTCCTGTGACGTATCTTTCTACTTGCACGCTTCACTTTTTCTTTACTTTTTGTTGGTCTCTCGGCTGCACTTACTGGCTTACCACTGACTCGTGAATTTATCAGCCATGTGTTTCTTTGAAGACGGCTGTGTGGTGTGAGTAGGGATGGATATATGGAAAAGAGGGCAACGCGCGCACACTCAGATCACACAACGGTCCATTCAACGACCAGTCAGTCAGTCTCGCCACTGAGTGCAGCAGCAGCTGTTGAGCACACGCCGTACATGCAAGCTTCTCGCGGCCTCATGTGATGATGCTGACTCGCAGGCAATGCGTGACTCGTCGGACGTGTGCAGTGCTGCGTGTGGTCAGAGCAGTCTGGTGTAGGTATCACTCAGCTGCTTGCCGTGCGCACACCGACGCCACGTCATGGTGTTCCGCTGATTGTACGTGACTCGCACCGATTTTGCAGTGGATGAATGGATGTGTGTATGTCAAAGCGCCTGGAACGGTGACCATTGCATCAATCTTCCAGGCAGCAGCAAGTGCGTTCGTCCATGCAACCAACATGCAACAAGTCCAGCCAGTCAGCCAAAGAGTGAGTCCCCTAAACCCACACACATTCCTATGCACATACAGACAGACTGACAGACCGACAGGCCCACAAGAACACACCTATTTCCTCGCCAATAGATAGAGCACAGCCCGCCCGAATCACCACACGGTGATGGTGCTCGATCCGCACCACGGGCATGTGCTGGGCGTGCACACCAGGTTGGCCCAGAATGGACGCCCGTGGCTGGCGGGGGAGAAGAACCGGCAGCAGAGGGCACAGTACTCGGGGAGCACTTCCGTCGACAGGGGCATCAGGGTGAGGGCGCATAGGGGGGCCTGCCGGCGGCCTCCCTCAAACACGATGCTGTCGAATGCCCACGACGTGACGCCTGCTGACTTGTTGAACTCACACACGTGCTTCTGCGGCACACAGAACTGACCACGCACGCACACATATAGCAAACACAGACACACATACAGAGGTCAGGAGGGGTGACTGCATTGTGGTGGTGGTGGGTGGTGAGCTACCTTGTGTTGTAGTGCGTGTTCGATCCTGGCGATGCTCTCCTCCTCTGCGGCTGACAACTGACAGGAGGACCTGAACGGCCTAATGAAGTCATGGTACACACACCACCAGTACGCCAGCAGCATGTGACGCAGCAACTCTGACATACACCACCAACAGGACACACACACAGAGAGATGGAGGATATAAATGCACTGCCCCTGCGCATGCAAGCATACCTTTGTCTTCGGCCTCGTCCTTTGGGTCGTCTCGGTAGCCGGCAAAGTGCTCCCGCCGCTGACGGGCCATCGGCACCACCACACACCGAAGTGCATTGAGACACTGCAGCGCCGACACTCGGTGAGCCGGCTGCTGGGCGATGGCTGCAGCGGCAGAAAGGTGCTGCAGGTGGCCGCGCAGACGAGTTAGCAGCTGCTGCACGGGGGCGAACGAGGGCGACGCACGTGGTGATGGACTGGACTCACCGGGCTCCTTCTTGACAACTGCTGCTGCTGCTGCCGGCTGACCTTCATCGGTCATCTCAACATCCATGAGAGCGACCATCGGCTGTGGCGGTTCTGTTGTGGCGTCGAGGGCCTTGATGGTCGACACCAGCGAGTTGGGCCCCGACAGTCGGTCGATCTCGCACAGGAAACACGTCAGGAAGGCCCCGTAGTCGGACAGCACGTTCACATCTTCCCCGAGACACTGAGTCGCCGGGCCGATAGAGCGGTAGGCGTCGTCCGTGCTCTCTTTGCCGGGGTCGCAAAAGGCGTTGGTGGTCTGGGGGATGTCGGGAATGGCCTGCGGGACGGCGCAGAGATCGGCGGCTTCGTGGGGCCGGGAGAGATCGATCCCGCCAAGTGAGTCGAAGAGGGCCGACTCCAGCACGCGGCCGCCTTTGTCGCTGCCCTCCCATGTGAGCTGAGATGGGTCAGTGTTGTCAGCAGCAGTGGAGTGCCGTTTCTGCGCCAGTAGCCGCTTGACACGTCTGCCGAGGTGTCTCTTGCGCAGCGCCATGTCGCTGTGCTTCCTCTCCTCTGTCGCACCATCGCTGGCGCCACTATCGCTGTGCGCCAAGACTTCATCGTCGGCCTCCCACCACTCCCTTTCCCTCTCCCTCTCCCTCTCCTTCTTGACATTGGGCCGCAGACCAAACCCAAAGGCGCCCATCACTTCGTCGCCCTCCCTCCTCGGCGGTGCCAGTATTGCGGACAGGAGGGGCCCGTTGACGGCCAGGTACATGTCCCAGAGGGAACAGGAGCCGCTGCTGCATGCCAGCTGCTGATGGGTGGACCGCATGGACGAGGTTGTGCTGGTGGTGGTGGTGGTGGTTGGCCACACGAACCCGTTGGCAAGGCCGAGAGTGTGCGCCATTCGGTGCATGGCGACGCACACCGGTGTGTGTGGTACGAGTGAGGTGGCGACGATGAGCTCTCGGTCGGTCTCGTAGCAGCTGAAGAGAAGACAGCCGGACGGAGAGGGGCAGTAGCCTGGGGGGGTGAGACGACCACACACACAGACACACAGACACGCACAGAGGATGGATGGACACCGTGTCGTCCCGCTCGCCATTGGTTGCCCAGGTGTCTGATTGATGTGTTTGCCGCTTGCTTGCCTCTGGCTGATTTGTGGGTGTAGACTGTCCGGCGAAAAGTCGACGGAATGCTGGGGGCGGGACGAAACACACCCTGTGCGAACGAACACACATAGAGAAGGGCGACAGACAGGAGAGCGATCGATCTTGTGTGTGTGCGTGGGAAAATGCCTGTGCGTACCTCCTCCAGTGCGGTGAGCCCGTCCACTTTGCCCCTCTTGGTGTCCACGACGCGCACATCGTCCATCTTTCCCTCCAGCACCATGCCGTCATCGCCAACACCATGCACCACGCGCCAGTGGATCAGGCTCCCGAACTGGTCCAGACTCATCAGCTCCACCAGCAGCCTCCCATTGGCCGTGTGCGTGTGTGTGTGGGGGTGGCTGTCACCGAGGCACGCTGGCGACGCCAGCAGGGAGGACCCCACGACATTGGCGAAGTGCGCGTCACTGGTGAGGGTGGGCGAGAGGAGGTGGTAGATGTACGAGCCACCACCTGCCGTCGTGGTGGTCAGCCCGGACGACCCGCTGATGTCACGCGGCACAGCGCCGTGGTCGTGCGCATGATGGTCGCTCGCTGCCGATGCCGCTTCCCGACGGACAGCCAGCAGGATGGAAGGCCCTCGGGCGATTGCCACGCACAAACCACCGTCAGAGAGAGGGGCGGCCCCCTCTGGCTGCTGTGGTTGCTGTGGTGGTGGTGGTATGATGCATGGCCCGACGAGCAGGTCGGCCACGGGTCCCTCGGAGCAAGGAGCGATCTCCAGGGGCGCCGTGATGCGGTGCTGTCTTGCTGGCAGCCAGTAGCCGTCGGCCTTCCTCTCGACGCCCATGTCCACCTGCCACGCCAGCACCTGACCATTGGACAAACCGCCGAACAGAGTGAGCCGCAGAGAGGGCCGCGTGTCTGCCGCCTCCTGCCGCCAGCAGAGCTCCAGTGGGGACATCTTGAGGGCGGTCACGCGCACGTGGTGGTCTGTGGGGTGCGAGCAGGTCGCGAGGAGGCAGCCTATCTTCATCTTGGGTCGGCCGGGGCACACCCACCACACCACGATGACGGCCTCGTACGCCACGGCGAACAGCACACAGGTCTCAGTGGCCAGCCAGTTGGTGCTCTGTGCCGCCGAGGGCGATGCCGCCTCCTTGCCGATCTCTGTCTTGACGGCTGGTGCTGCTGCTGCTGCAGGTGTTGGTGCTGGTGTGGTCATGAAGGCGTCGAATCCGTTAGGCGAGAATGCGGCGATGGGGCTGGTGGTGGATGGGTGGACTTTGAGCCAGTCGGCCACAACGCCTGGTCCTGGTGTGGGGCCGGCGTGGGGCTGGGCGGTGTCGAAGCGATAGAGGGGAATGGCTGCCTTGTACTCGAGGAACTTGGAAGTCACCTCCAACACCTTCACCGGCTGCACAACAGTGAGACCATCATGTGTGGGTGACTGGGTGCTTGTGTGTGCGTGTGGTTGGTTGACCGACCTTGCTGACTCCATTTGCGAGGAATTTGCCGGGCATGGCGTAGAGGTTGAAGGTGCCGTCGGTGGTGCCCACCCCCAGAATGCACCCCTTGTGCAAACCCACACCAGTCGACTCGCCATCCGCATTCGCCTGGTGGGTGTAGCCGTGCACACGGGGCGACCACACCACGCAGTGAAACCTGCACCCATCAACCACACACATCAGCCACACGCATGCACACACAGGCCGACCAGTGCACTCACTCATTATGCATTCATTCCCACGGTCGGTTACTGACCTGACTTTATCGGCTGCTTTGACAGCGGCGATGAATGAGTCCTCGACGTTCTCCCACTGCTGCTGGCCCGCCTTAGACTTGGCCTTGGCCCTCGACTTGGCCTTCGCCTTTGCCGACTTGCGCCCCCTCCCGCCCTTCTTGGCACCGGCCTCCTCCTCGAGATCTTCATCCTCATCGCCGCCGCCCATCGAGTGATCCTCCTCGTCAGCACGCATCATGGCGCCCGCCTGACACACAAACACACACACGTTGCATAGATCCCGATGTGTCCCTGTCGTCCTGGCCACGTGTGCATGCGACTGACCTGATTGCTGGCGGCAACCACGTCACTGGTAGTGAGTGTGGCGAGCACCACCGAGGCCGAGGTGAACCCCGGGGACATCCGCTCCATGTCGAGCATGGCGACGGGGTCGACGACCATGACCTTGTCATCGCTCATGAGCGCCAGCAGGTTGTCCTCACTCACAGCCAACGCATTCACGTGGAACGCCCTGTGCTGCGGCAGCAGGAACGATTCCGAAAATCGAAGCGCCCGGGGCTTCCCTCGCCGGCTCATTGCTCCGCTGCCACTCTCTTGGTGTTATTGCCTTCGCGGGTTCGATTCACAGAAAGAACTGCTTGCTTAGCTCGCTGACGCGAAGCTCGCAGGAAGTGCGGGGAAAGAGGGAAGAAACGGCGAAAAGCGATGAGGAATTTGGTGTCAGGATCTCAGGGGTGTGCCCCTTCTGACGTGACGGCCCGCGGAGCCACCGCACAGCGGAACCCGCTGATGCGCTTTGCTCACGCTGTGATGCATGACCCTCTCAGGACACAGCAGGTGGGGCACAACCATACGCATGAGCCGCTCATGCCTCAAGATTCATGTGTTTGCCTCTGTGTGTGTGTGTGTGTTTTGTTTAAATCTTTGTGTTGTCTGTCTGTCAGATTCGCGAGGGGTACCATCGCCACCCTCTCTCGTCAGGAGGCAAGCTTGCCTCCCCCGAGGATGTCCACCCATCGGCTGTCGACGAGTTCAAGCAGCCACAGCAGCACACACCACCCGAGGCGCTCGATGCGGCGTGGAACGATGCGTCCACCTACAGGCACCCACCGCCATACCCCCTGCCCCACGCACACGCCCATGCGCCGCCAATCGGTCTGCCGATGCATCAGCAGCTGGAGGGGCTGGTGAGAGCGCAGCAGCATGGCCCTGGTGCGGTGAACGAGCTGGATTTCTTCTCGGCGTACCAGCAGCAGCAGCAGCGGCAGATGCGGGAGGATGTGGGGGCATCACGGCCGAGCGACGCGCCCGCACCGAGTGTGCAGCAGGAGTAAGTGGGCAGGCAGGCAGGCAGGCAGTGTGACTGATTAACCGTCTTGTCGGTCATCGTGTTGGTCAATCGTTGACTCATTCATTCACTGGTTCATCCAGGTCTGTTTGGGCGACTGAGTTCCTGTCAATGCCTCCCCCGACAGCCGCAGCCACAGCCACAGCCACCACAGCGACAGCGACAGCCCCTTCTGTCCCCTCCTCCCAGCTGCACGCAGCCCCGCCAGCCATGTTCTCAGATGTCTGGCGGGACCCCACACATGTCTGGAGGGATCCCGCACTCATACCACCGCCACCATATACGCGTCAGCAGCACCCACCGCAGCAACAGCAGCCTCCTGTGGCTGCCACAAGGGCTGCCGATGAGCAGCAGGTGGCTGCGCAGAGTGACGATACCGACCAGCTGGGTCTGGACAGGGTGGGCTGGGGCAAAGCAAAGCAACGGGCGGCGATCGATCCAATCCCTTCGCACTGATGTCTGTGTGTGTGTGTGTGTGGTGCTGTTTGTTTGTGACGCAGGAGCGTGCGCGTCAGTTGGTGGAGCGGCTGCGAGCCACTGGGGAGGAGCGGTTCGCACAGTCCAAGTTCGTCAGCTTTGTGGACAAAGTGGCCAAGGGCGACATCAACTTCAGACAAAACAAGGCAGGCCGACCACCAACACAATCCAATCCAATCCACCAACACGCTTACTGGTGTGTGAAATCAAATCAGGTTGTTGACCGAGAGGGCCGGGAGGTGGACTGGGACGAGCTGTACGCCTCACAGCCGTCACCACACCACCAACAGCCGCTGGAAGAGTCCCTCAACGACGCATGGGACAACGCACTCAACGAGGTACGCACCATGTGACTCAGCCTGTCGCCAATGCATTCCATTCATTTCTCCTCATTGTGTGTGTGTGGTGTGTTGTTTCAGTTTGTGGCCAAGGGTCCGGAGGAGATGCAGCAGATGTGGCGGGAGCTGGTGCAGGCCAACGAGGACGGCACCGCGGCCGACGGCGACACCAGGCAGGAGGCGCAAAAACTCGAGGACTTTTTCGAAAAGACATGGCAGAGCTTCAAGCCGCCCGAGGATATGGGTCAGTCAGTGAGTCACTGACCAGCAAACACATTATGGGCATTCATTGTTGCTGTGCCCTTGCTGTGTCAGAGTCGCTGTGGCGGGAGGTGGAGGCGAAAGAGGCCTCCCCCGAGCAGCCACAGTACCAGTTCCAGCCCAACAACCCCTACACCAACATGCCGTCCCCCCTGCAGCTGGCGCAGGAGCACCTGCAGGCGGGCCGCACCGATGAGGCCATACTGGCGTTGGAGGGTGAGGTCTCTCAGAACCCCGAGAGCAGCGAGGGCTGGCGGCTGCTGGGTCAGCTGCACGCCGAGAACGACCAGGACGTGGAGGCCATCTACTGCCTCAAGAAGGGACACGAGGTCGACCCCTATAACCTCGACAGCCTCCTGGCATTGGGGGTGTCGTGCACTAACGAGTTGGATGCGCCGCAGGCACTCAGGTCAACAGACAGACAGACAGACAGACAAATTGGGAGGCGTCTGTACCCAGCTATCTATCCATTGTGCGTGTGGGGGGCGTGTGTGGTTCTGCGGTTGGTGATGCGATGCAGTCACCTGAAGACATGGCTGGCAAATCACGAGGAGTTCCAGAGCCTTGACGGCGTCACGGTAAGCACCAGAAGCACCCACACTCCCAGCCACCAACCCATCCACTCATGTGTGTGTTGTGCTTGACTGATCAGGCCCCCACGCCCCCGCTGAGCGATTTTCTTGCTGTCAAGCAGCAGGTGGCCTCCCTCTTCACGCGTGCGGCGGCCATGAGTTCAGTCGTCAACAGCCCCGCCCTCACCGATGTGCACGTGGCTTTGGGGGTCGTCCACACCATCGACCGCAACTTCGAGGCCGCCATCCACCACTTCGCTGAGGCACTCAAGGCCAGGTCAGACAGACAGCTGAGCACCCCAATGGATGGATGGTATAGTTGTCATTGGATGGATGGATGGATTTAGGCCGAAGGACTACTCTCTGTGGAACAAACTGGGTGCGACTTTGGCGAATTCGGGCCACTCCGAGGCCTCCTTGGCAGCGTACCACCAGGCGCTTGCGCTGAAGCCCAACTACACCCGGGGCTGGTCCAACCTGGCCATCGCACACGCCAACCTCGGTGGGCTTGATACACACAGCCATGCCATGGAGACAGGGGAAGGAACGATGAGATGAGTGTGTGTATCTCTCGGGTCGGGTGTGTGTCAGATCACTATGAGGATGCGATTCGGTTTTACTTGACGGCGCTGTCGCTCAACGGGAAGGCCAAGCACATATGGCACTACATTCACACCGCTCTCCTGCACCAAGGTCCGTCAGTTTGACAGCGCAGCGGGGGGAGAGAACTTGTGGTTGTCCCATGCATGTCATCCTTTAGGTCGTTATGACCTGCTGACGGCTGTCGAGCAGCAGAGCGTCCCAGCCCTTGCCACACACTTCCCCGTAAGCAGTGACACAAACGCGTCAATCACACCACACACACAGGCCAACAGCAGCAACGTGTGTGGTTGTGTGTCGTTGCTGCCAGGGTGTGGTGAGTCGTGATGCGCTGCCGCCTCCCTCCTCCGAGCCGCCAGAGGACAGCAAGCTGGTGCTCTCGCGCATATACGCCTCACTGGCACACGGATAATGAGACGACACTTGCGCATTTCTTCCATGTCCATCTGTGGTTCGGTTGGTCGGTAATCGCAATTTTTTCGTGCTGTATGGTGCGTGCGTGAGGGTTTTTCAGAGGCAGGCGGACCGTCAGATGGTTCGTTCGTGTGCGCCTATTGCTGATGCCGTTCGTTGAGGGTGTGTGTTGCGTGAGTGTTCATAGCCATGACGCGGACACGTACGTTCCAAACGAGTCCGTCGAATAAGTCTCACTCACAGCAGTCTTCTGCATTGCCACCCAAGTGTTGCCAGCACCCATCAGCAAGGGACAGGCATGGCTAGGAGCCTGCCAACCATGCCCGAGCCTGCCTGACAGGTCTGCCCTGCTGTCGTTTTTCTTGGCAATGTCGATGAACGGCTGCAACTCGAGTGCTTCGATTTGCAGCCATTCATTGACATGGCCAAGAAGAACGACAGCAGGTGGGTATGTGGATGACGCCACACACACAGCAGGCACAGCAGACCAAGCAAGGAGTTCAAACCACCAAGTGACACAGCAGACAGTGCCGGGGCGGTCAAAGCGAGGCAACACACACACACACACACACACAGGAAAAAGCCGAATCTGCTCGGTCTGTCACACACGCCTCCATACTTGCGAGGTCAGCAATCGTTGCTGCCTGGCTTGCTCCCCCGCACCACGCACAAAGTGACCGACACACGTGCACACACACAGGGGAGTGTGTGTGTCACACAGCCTTAGTCGAGTCAGTCGTCAAAATGAAAAATCTGTTTCGCATATTCGCACACAGACACGTAGGTACGTACGCACAGCAATAAGGCCAATTAAGGTATGCAGAGGTCGGCGGCTGTGTGGGTGTGTGGGTGTGTGGGTATGTGGGCGAGAGGCGCGCTGCCTGCCTCTCGTATGGAAGGGCAACCGACAGGCATGTGTGTGGGTGTGTGTGTCTGTGTCTACCTACGTGTGTGCTGCGGCCTGCCGGAGGGCCTCGCCGCTGACGCACTTCTGTAGGTGTCACTCACGATAGGCAGCCAGATCAGTGGGGAGTGATCCGTACCAGATGTGAGCGACTCCAAGAGTACGTCACCGGAGGGGCCCTCCTGTGTGTGGCTGTGACCTCTGTCTGGATGGAAAATCGATCGAGGCAGACAAGGCAGACAGACAGGCAGTAGTGGGAAGCCTTACTTACGGTAGCGGACTATCGACAGGAAAAAACCCTCTCTCTCACATAATATGCCCAGACTCAACGAACGGCCAAAAACACCCGACATGTTTGCCCACCTACCCCTCCCCCTCCTTCCTCTCCCTCTCCGCTCGCTGGTAAGGACACTCGTCCTTTCGGTATAGCACACGCAAAAAACACACGAACGCACGCACAGTCACGCAATGAAGTCAACGCACTTGTCTCTGGGCCATGCCATCCCTGTCAGTCAGGGTCAGTCAGAACATGGGTATGGCCCATGCCGAGTTGCAGTTGAGCAGGCCGCCGGCGAAGAAGGCCACGATGAAGGACAGCACCAGTCCGGACGCTGATGGAGTCTGGGAGGACGGATGGGGCATGGAGATCTGGCAAGGCTGGATCTCTGCGGGAGCTGGTGGCGGAGATGACACAGCCTGAAACCCCACCAGCAACGCAAGACACAGATTCACACACACGGATGGCAAGATCTGTGCATCGAGATCGTGATGCCTCCTCACCTTTTCTGCGTCAGAATCGTCTCCTGCCGTCCGCTTGGTCATGACGTCTCGGATAGTGAGCTCGACGGTGAGGACGAGCAGCGCGGTGGCCAGAAGGATGATGGCGCAGTGGCTGGCGATAAACAAGACCCGCACATGAGGCTTGCTGGTCATAGGGGGGAGGGAGGCAGGGAGAGAGGGAGTGGGAGAAGGGAACGGCAGCAAGGAACGGCAGCGAACGAAAAGGAAAGAAAGAGTCTTGAAAGATGCGCTGCCGATCACTGCCGTCCACCTCCCTGCGCTCGGCTCGCTCCGCCTCGAAACCCCTGACCCCAAACCCTGGACCCTAGTGCTTTCTGGCCGGAGGGGATTTCACTCATCGCGAATGTCAAGCACTTCCCGTCCACCATCCGAAACAGACCTCCCTTCCTACCCCGTCCTTCTGTTTGTCATGTCTGTGGTGTGTACAACTAGATGAGTGCATGTGTTCTGAGCATACTTGAGCATCGCTTCGTGCACGGATACTCTCTTGCCGTCGGCCAGCGGAGTGTTCGTCACAACCAATGGATACGGCTGAGTCTCTGAGTCTGACTTCGCCGCCGACCACTTCCGCCAGCCGAATGTCTCTGCCTCTCGGGCCCAAGCAAGACACACCATGTGAGAAGAGACATCAGCTTGAGGATCACAGACATGGATATAAAATGCAGGCAGCGATGGCTCTCCGAACCACCACGCGTAGCTGAAGGGCGTGTTTCTCGATGTGCTCTTCAACTCGCGCTTGCACTGATAGCACCAAATCTCTCGCAGCAGGCTGTCCACTTGCGAACACCATCATCACGTACCTCAAGCCTTTCCACGCATGTCGTGTCTATCACCGACGGGCAAGTTCATCAGTGCCTGGCAGGCCAACACCACCAAACCTGCGCGTACAAAACAAAGATCATGAACAAATGCGGCTGCGGTTGTGGCTGCGTACTCTTGGGTCTTCCGGCGGCAGGCGTCCTGTGCGCTCGACTGGACCCCTCTTGTTGTCCGGCGTCCACCGAATGGATCAGGATGTTGCTGAGTTGGATCTGAGGATGTTGGCCGGCAGGCCCGTCAGCTTGATGCCCGACGCATCAAAGCGAGAGCCGAGGCTTTGGATGTACCAGTCGCGACCGTTGAGCCGCGTCGCTGCCTGGGCGCACGCATCCTCGAGGCTCCCTGTTTGACTGTTGTACTCGGTCGAGTATTTGCCTCGCGTAAGGTCGTCATCGGGGGCGGTCAAAACACTGCACGCAGCCCACACACGTGAATGCAGACATCCACGCAGCCTTTGTCTATGAAAGAATTTGTGTGTGCTCAGCTCACCGGCACGATGATGTCTCTGACCGACTTTGGCCACCAGTTTGGCAAAAGTGGAGTTCCGCCTTGCATGATGGTGTCGCCTATAAAACGATCACTCCGAGACTCCGGCCACACCGTCCCTCCGAATATTTCAATGAGGCAGCACCCTGGATGACATTCAATCACAATACATGGCTGATGTGGGAGCTCGTCTATGAATGGCCCGTGCTCTTGAGCACTAACCGAGAGACCAGATATCCACCGCGTCGCTGAGTGGCTGATGGGCGAGGGCCTCTCTAAGCTGGTACCGCCGCCAGCGTCCTCTAGTTCCACATAGCCGTCCCGCTGACACCACAAATAATGTAGCACCCGACACACATACAAGGAGACATACATGAAATGTCCAGTACTGCAGCTGGCACCATCATCACGTACCTCAAGCCTTTCGCATGTCCCTAGGTCAGCCAACTTGAGCTCGAGATCAGCCCGACGTATTAGAACGTTCTAATAACAGGCAGGTAGGCAGGCAGGCAGCCAGGCATCTTTCTAGTTGACAGGAAGCTTTTTGTTTGTACTCACCTGCGGCTTGACGTCTCTGTGTATGAAACCGCAGGCATGCACATGGCCCACTGCACCAACCTGCGTACACCAAACAACACGCCATTGAATGGCATCAATATCTGTGTCATACCAGCTGCTCTGCCCAAGTGAGTCTTTGTTGAGCCGTCGGCCGTTCTCGCAGGCAACTCGACAGGACATCTGTAAGAAGACATCTCCGTGCACAAGACTACAGCAACTGTTCTTTCATCTGCTGTCTTTCTAGCTGACCCCCTTCAATGAGCTCCAACACGATGCAGTGGTGGGGAATCCTCGCGTTGGCCTCCCTTGCTTCTCGATTGCCCCTGTGCCGGCAGACTCCATGACATTGCAGGATGGACTGGTGTTGAATATAACTACACAGAGCCACCAAGGGCCAACACACCGAAACACACAAGAGTCACTTGGTCTTGCGGCCTTCTCGTGGACACGTATGTCAACACACTTGCCTGTACGCTCTGACTTCTCGCTCGAAGTTCAATACCTCCCATCTTGACGGCCTCATCCCTGCAGGCAGCCAACAAGATAATGTGATCAAGCCATGCTGAGATACGCCGCTTCCCACCTGTCTGCAGTGACAGCAACATCGACTTGATGGCGACCCGCGTCTGGCCCAGCCGTCCCTCTTCCACCTGTATCACACATTCGATTCCACACCATGACAAGGACATCGACTCACCACACATTCGATTCCACACATTCGATCACACATTCGTCTCACCAAGCCGAAGGTCCCACTCCCCAGGGCTGGCCGTCTATCCTCCCAGTCCAAATCTGCACACACCAGGAAAGGGACACACAGAAGAAGGGACACACACAATGAACACGGAGACATCAATTTCTGCTGGCATACAAGTCTGTCTTACCGCTGAAGTCGATTCGTTCCAAGAAGATCGGCCCCTGTCCGGCTGATGGCCCTCTGCGGCGGCCATGGTTGCTTGGGCTCGCGGCCCGCCGCAGCAGCAACGCCGTGGGATCCAGGTCCTGCCAGACTTCTTCTTCGAAGTCGTCATTGACTTCCTGGTCCATTGGCAGCTCAATGATGGCTTGCCGGCGCTGTACAATCCACCTACGCAGCGCCTCGATGGCGTCCCGGACAAGTTCTGCCGGGGCCGGGGCGAGCGGGGTGGGTAGGGGTGGGAGCGGTGCAGCCTGATCCTCGGGTGGGTAGGGTGGAGGGTGCAGGTGGTGGTGCTGTGGCTGCTGTGGCTGCTGTGGCTGCTGTGGCTGCTGTGGCTGCTGTGGCTGCTGTGGCTGCTGTGGCTGCTGCTGATTCCGGCGTTGCTGCTCCAGTGTGTCGGCATGGTTCTGGCTGTGAGGCGGTGGTTGCTGTGCGATGGGCGGCGGGGCAATGGGTGCAGGTGGTGCCTCTTGGTGGATGTCCATCTCCTGCTCTCGCTCGTCAGACGGCGGCGCAGCCAGTGGCGGGGGCATCATGAGAATGGCCTGTGCAGCGGGCTGCAGCTGCTGCAGCTGAGCCATGTCACGGTCCCGCAGGGCGGCGAGGTATCTGGCGAGGGACCCGATGTGGTCGGCGTGCCTGGCGGGCTCCGCGCCCAGCACGTCGAGGGCGTCGGACACCCGGCGCATCTCCTCTTGCTCCTCGGCGGTGCGCTCCTGTTGTGGTGGGGGTGGTGGCTCCTGCTGCTGCTCTTGGTGGTCGGTTGGAAGGCGGTTCTCATCGTCGTTCTGCAGCTGATGTGGTGCCTCTTGATGCTGCTGCTGCGCCGCCATGCTGGTATCCTCGCCTCTCACGGGCTGCTCCTCTTGCTGCTGCTGGTCTCGCTTGTCCTCTAGTACGGCCACAGGAAGAGGGGCAGCTCTGCTTGACGCTCCTGCCCCTGCTGCCGCTCCTGCTGCTGCTGATGCTCGCCCGTGCCATTCGGTAAATGGGTTGCCGGTTCTGGTGCAGGTGCCTCATCCACCTCCACCTCCCTGGAGCCCGCTCCCTCTCCCTGTCCGCCTCCCTCCCTCTCGATCTCCATCTCATGGGCGTGCTGCTGTTCCTCCTGCTGGAATGCGACAGGGAATGAGGGACACAAAACCGATTAAATAGATCGACATCGGCAGTTTACGGCGGCCACGTTTGCTGACAGACAAGAGACAGAGACAGCAAGGAGGAGATGAATCGAGGAGCCAATTCATCAGCTAATGTCTTACCGAGCGAGCAATATGCATTCACAACTTCCCAAACAAGGCTGCTGCCCAGGGGCGTTTGGTGCGTGGAGGGTCAGTGGTCTGTCTCGCCTTCGCATTCTGTCCCCTCAGCAGCAACCGGCCGCTCGCAACACCCAAAGGGGCAAGTCAAGAACTGGAGCGAGCTGGCATGGACGAGAGCTCGGAAAGATGGTCATCGCAAAGTACAAAGACGTTCGCCCTGGGCAGACGATAATTGGGGCCTGAAGCAAAGGCAGATGGACATATTCTGCAGCCCTCACCCTTCACGTCTAGTGTATTACCTCCGTCTGCGAGAGGTGCGTGGTCCCATGCCCCATCACCATCGGTTGGGACAAACTCTAGGCCCTGAATGCATCAATCGCGTGCGTCGATATCCCGTGAGCCTTCATTGCAGCGTGCCATCAGAGAGAAGATACACGCCCGCTTGTGGGCTCTGACGAACAGGGCTCTGACGAACAGGGCAGAGAGAGAGGTCCACTGTGTGGCTGATATCGCTTGCTCACTGTTGGCGTATACACTTACCGCTGCCGTCCGTCATTACGAGCTGTGTTACAGCCTTTATATGCGGCATACAGTAACCATACAGAAAGCAGCCAGCTGCTACTTGGATTGCCCGTGAGTCAGTTGCACTTACCTCTTGGTCTATGTGAATATACCAGAGGTCAGGGACGACAGTTGAGCATGGACGGCCATTCACCATCTCGTTCTTGGTGGTGGCAGTGGCTGCAGGCCATCCCGACACGTAAAACAGGTGGACGCCGGGCCTCAAGATGTGCAGCTGGTGGATGGCGGCCAGGGCGACTGAAACGGCTTGCTTGCGGCAGGGGGAAGGGTGTTGTCAAGCTTTCCGCAGGTGTGGCTCTGGATCAAGCGGTGCCCTTGCCACTGGTCTCCCGACTCGCTTTGGCCGAGTTGAGCTCCTTCAGGTTCGCGGCGGCGGCAAGGAGCGACCAGTAAGCCTAGTTCCTTGTGATATTCGGCCAGCTTGTAGAGAGCATGATAGAGATAGCAAGGGGGGGTTGACGCGGGGAGCAGAAAGCGCAACAAATCTGCGGTCAAGACACGATTTAGGGTTTGCGGGGTTTGTCGTGTCTCACGTCGAGAAATCGCTCTTGGAAACCAAATACACAGCAGGAGGGTGGCTGATAGGGCACGGCGAGCAAAGGAAGGACTTGGACCAATGACACATTTATGGGTGTACGTGTATTCGAGTGCGACCGCCTCTCTGCATTTCGCGATGGTAGAGAGTTTGTCATGTATGGATCCATCCATCCCCAATGGCGTCCATCTCACAATGAAATGTCTCAAGCAACGAATCAAGCAGTCTCTTGGCTACCCTCGTCGGTGTCTGTCTGCCCCGTCTGTTCCTCTCTCTTTTCCTCCTCCTCCTCATCATCATCAGTCGGCTCCTCTGTCTCTTGGATGGTCTCGCCGGGCTGTGCGGTGTCGTCTTGGTCCTTGGGAGCGATGAAGTCCGTCGACACGTCACAATCCTGCACAATCAAATCAATGCACACACACATATGTACAGATGGATAAACGCGTGGATGTGCCCACGGATGCGGACCTGCACGCAGACGCCATCGTATGCCTCGGAGCCTGAAAGGACACACACACAGAGAGAGAAAGACAACAAATGCACAAGCCATTTTCATGCCCAAAGGTATGTGTGGCTGACTGGCTGTCCGCCTGACCGACCTGATTTGACTTCGACGACGTCGATGAGGAAGTTGCGCCGGTTGTACTTGATGACGATGGTGCTGCCCGCCGTCAGACTGCTGTAGTGCCGCAACTCACGCTCCAACACCGCCTGTGTGATGCAGACATTCATCCCATCGCACCAATGAACGGAAAAATCGCACACGTGTGTGTGTGTCGGTGACCTGATGGTTTGACATTTTGAGGAAGGCCGAGTTGTGTGGCTGGAAGGTGACCGTCGTGCCCTCAGGCAGACGCACAAACTCGCAATACAGCAGGTCTCGCGGCCTACCAGGCACACCACACCCACAACACACCCACGTGCCACCTGTGTTGTGTGATGTGTGATGTGTCTGTGTATCCATCCAATCCACCCATATACATGAGGTTGAGTGCGGCCATCATCCAATCGGGCACAAAGACGAAGTTCTCTGGCGCCCGGAAGTCGAGCGTGCTGCAGTAGACGCGCTTCAGGCCCGACTTGTAGTACCTCTGCCGGCCACCTGCCAACCAACACACACACACAAACAAAGCCATGGATGACGCCACCGAACACCCTGACCCTCACTCACACACCTATTCTGTCGCCGTCTCCCTCTGTGTCGCTGTCAGTGGTCTTGCTGGTGGTGGTGCTGGTGGTGGTGGTTGCGGTGCCGCCCCAGACCTTCTCCAGCTCCTTCCGGTCGATCTTCTCCAGCACAAACTGCCAGGGGATCTCCAGGTTCCTCTCCAGCAACTGCAGCCAGCCACAGGTAGAGGAAGGAGGGCGTGTGTGCGTGCCTCGACCCACACCGCCCCTGCCCACCCACACATCCGTCCGTCCACCTGTGTGCTGATGGTCCTTGGGAAGGACACTTTGTCGCCATACATGACGTGGTCGTGCGAGAAGTGACCTGCACACGCACGCGCACACACACACACACACACACATATATGCAGGGAGGGAGGGAGGGAGGGAGGGAGGTGGCCGTGATGCATGCATCCATCCATCCATCCATCCAACCAACCAACCTGGAGGAGGGTTGAATTTCTCCGAGATTGGCATGACGGTTAGGAAGCGGCCATGCCGCCCCTCGGCCTTCTCGAGGATGTTGATGTCCTCCACCAACTGCTCCTCCTGACATATACAGACACACAGACACACAGACACACACACACACATTGCTTGTGATCTTGTGTCCCCGTTCGATTCGCCCACCCTTGATCTCTCCAGTGCACTGCTGAAGTGATTCGATACAGCCGTGTGTTGCGATGGCGATTCCATCGATGCCATCGCAAGTGACCTTCTGCTGCGCCGCCATGGCCATGACGGACCTGTGTGCAGATGAGATGAATGCCAACAGAAGATCCATTGCCTGCAGCCAGCCCATGTAGTGTAGACAAACACAGCGCGTACCTCGCTCCCTCTGCGGCAGCCGCCCTTGCGCATGCTCAACAGCAGCAAACAGCAGCATCAGGGTGCTGAGGATGGCCCGTCTGCCCGTCCTGATGAGTCGATGGGTGGAGATCTCGGCTCCTTCAGGTGCGCACGGCGCATCCGTCTTCTGTTGCATCCGTTCTGGCTCCATCCCCATCGCGACCCGGTTCTCTCGAGCTAAGCTAGCAGAGGCGCGATGGAAAAGTGAAAGCTGATCTGCGGCGCAGCGGAATCAGGCCGCAGAGGCGACGGAATGCTGGCCCAGTGGAGGAGGACAAAAGAGGTTGTAGCAAGACGGGACTTAAACCGAACGCCAGACTACGTGGCCTAATGGATAAGGCGTCCGGCTTCGGACCGGGAGATTGCAGGTTCGAGTCCTGTCGTGGTCGTTTACACTTTGTGGGCTTCCGGGGTTGCCAATACCTATCGGCAGTGCGAAAACGTGCCTTCTGATTTGGTTACATATTTCTTCCTGAGGCAACAGACGGAGTATTATACAGCTAAGCTGTACAGTCACATTCATATGCGTCACACAGCCGCAGGCAAGTCATGTAGTCAATGCACGCCAAGATGTAAGGCAGCTGGCAACCAGGCGTGCCCACTGCGCTCATCATTTTGGTACGCCTCAGCAGACTGATGCGTCCCAAGACGACGAGAGCAGTAGGGAAGCCATGGCACGCCATATGCCGTTCCAATGCGATTCACATCTTCCTGCTGCACGCACAACTGTGGGTGTCCGCTGACACTGAAACCATATACACACGTGTTTCTTTCCCTCTCTGTCTGTCTGCCTGTCTGGACGAAGGAGCGTTCACTCTGCAGTGCCCGACAGGGGGAAACAGCACACGCTGAGGGAGCGTTCTCCCACGGACGACACTCATTCACGCAAAAACTGTCTGCACACACCCGTTCGTACGGCCCTGCCTTACCCTGCCCCGCCCGCATCGACAGTCATCGGCCGTCACTTCTGTTTGGCCTTGTCCCTCTTCCGGAAGGACTCCTTGATCATCAGATACCCATACAGCATCGCCACAAGACCTGCACGCACACACACACACACACACAAGCACAAGCACACACGCACACAGAGGCAGACAAGTGCCCAGGACCCACATACACACTCCGACACCGATACTTGTCGTGTGTATGTGCATGTGTGTGATTGCCTGGCTGCCTACCCATGAGTGTGACGCCTGCAAACACGGGCAGTATGATGGCGTACTCGCGGGGCGGGAACAGCCGCTGGATGGGGTTGTCGGACTCCAGGAAAGGCTGAAACCGGCCGACACAAAGGACACGCATCCACAGGCAAGTGCCATGGCCGTGCGTCTGTGCATCTGTATGTCTGCCTCCGCCATGCTGTGTACGGCGCCTCTCTCCACTGTCTGTCTGCTGTGTGCCGTGGATCCTCATGTCACTCACCGTGATGATGGTCCACAGCGTGTAATACACAAATATCGCGCCAGAGAGCACCAAAAGCGCCGCTCCAACCACCTTTGTCGGCCGCATCTCTCGCACACGCGAGCTTAGCTGCGAGCTTGGATGTGAAGAAGAGGAAGGAGTGTTTTTTGCGGTGTTTGGGCGCATGCGACACACGCAAGGCGCACACGAGTGACCAGTTCGGCGTGTGAAGCTCTTACTCCGTCAGATCTGCCACAGACAGGTGAGCGGCCAATCCGTACGTGTGTGTGCGGGAGAGGGGGAGCCGGCGAGACACACACAGACGGTGTGTCCCTGTCTGTCCGTCTGTGTGTGATGTGTGTAGGTAACTACTGCGAGTCACTGGTGCGAGAGATGGCCGACGAGTCATCGCTCCTGTCGCCGGGAGGCGGGCCGCTGCCGGACGAGTCACAGCTCATCGGACAGATTCTTCTACAGGTGAGTGAATGAGGGGACAGGGGGAGGGAGAAAGGTCGAAAGGGAGGGAGAGTTCGGAGGATGTTGTGATGCACGTGCCTTCACGACTGCAGGACGAGGGCGATGACCGTCACGATGACGCAACGTTCGGGCCGCTCGAGCCAGCTGTCGAAACTGGTACACACATGGGGATTTGGCTGTTTCCATGGACTGGATGGATGTCCTCGTACGTCGTGCGTGTGTGTGTGTGATTGCAGCCGATGAGCACCAGGACGACAGCGACACGCTGGGGATGGAGGGGCCATCCCACCACTGGGTGCAGCAGGCCGCACTCGGGAGATCCACCAGTGCGCCGCCTAGCGTGCTGGAACAGGTGAACATACACACACACGCACACGCATCCAATCAACACACCTGTGTGTGTGTGTGTGTGTTTGTGTGTGTGTGTGTGTGTGTGCAGGAGGTGTTCCGTGAGGAGGCCAAGAGTCTGAAGCTGCAGGACATCGACTGGGGGCGGCCCATCGGGTCGCCGCACACACACGGCACACAAGGTAGGTAATCCACAGTGGATCGATCATGCACATCAAAACGTGGTGACATCAACATGGATGCGTGTGTGCGTGTGCACCAGCAGGCCGTGATTTGTCGTTCTACACGAGCGGCCAGGAGGGAGAGGGCGACAGAGCCAAGAAGGTGTGTTCGTCCCATCCGTCCATCCGTCCATCCCACACACGTCATGTGTCTGTCTGTCTGTCTGTGTGTTTGTGTGTCTGTGTGCAGTTGAGTACCGAGAGCTCCTCTACAGGTGAAGGACGTAAGCAAGTACCAGGTCTTTCTGCCGTAGCTGGCCTTCTGTGTGTGCGCCCACGCATCCATGTTCATGTGTGTATGTGTGTATGTGTGTGTGTGTGCAGGTTCGCCCCCTCCCCCTCTGCTGTCGGCCGACTCGACCAACCAGCTCTCGTCCCCGACACCTCACACACCACAGCAGCACCAGAAACGAGTGGTACGGCTGGCTGGCTGGATGGATGGATGAATGGACACACGCGCACACACATAGATGAGATGAACGAATCTATGTTGTATGTGTATCTGATGTAGAGTTTTGACGGCGACCCGTTCCCCGCTGCGGCAGGGGCTGCCGGCCAGCCAGGAGCCGAGAAGTCGCCACAGATGGAGCAGACTGGACCTAGTGTCGTTTTCCCAAGGTGCGCTGTGCACTGTCGTGGCAAGTGTACTGTGTCTATGAGAGGTCCATCTCTGTGTGTGTCTGCGTCTCTGTGTGTGTGTGTTTGCCTGCAGGACGCCATCGCCCGTTTACAACTACGAGCAGACCAGGTTAGGCACACACATACACCCTGGTTCGGCCATCTCCACCTTGTGTGTCTTGGTCTTTCTGCCCATCCATCAGCCGGATTCTGTTCGGTGCCAACCGGGACCAGCAGAAGAACCCTGTCTTCGACCCTATCACCGAGGAGTCCAAGCAGCAGCAGCAGCAGCAGCAGCAACACCCACAGCAGCAGCAGCAGCAGCCGCCGCCACAGCCGCCTCAACAACCACCCCCCCCGCAGCAGCAGCAGGCCAAGGACCCAATCGCTCTGCACCCCTTCATGAACGTGCCCATGAACTACGGGATGATGATGTGCGTCACGCAAAGCCACGCCATTTCAACCCTGAAATAGAACCAAACACACACCGCCATCCCTCTCCTCTGTGTGTGCAGGATGCCCACGATGCCGGGTATGATGGGCATGGGCCAGCAGCAGCAGATCCCATCGGCAGAGGGCGGCGGGGCTGCCAGTGACGACATGGCCACCGTCAGCCACACCACACCGGAGGTCTCAGAGGTACGCACACCACACACACTGCGTGGTCACACGAAGGCCTCCGTTTGTGGCTGTGTGTGTATGTGTGTGTGCGTGTGTGTCGCTGTCAGGGTGACGGTGTGGGCGGGCCGCTGTCGACCTCCAACCTCAGCACCATATCGGGCCAAGGGGTAGCAACCAACACACCAAACCAAACCATCCACACACACATGGGTGGTGCTTGTGTGTCAATGTGCTCACTCAGAGCAAGACTGCCCCGATTGGTCCGCCGTCGGCGGGCACCACCGCCCAGCAGCAAAACCAGCAGCAGCAGGCCATGAGTTTCTACAACCCCCTCATCCCGCCCTTCTATAACATGATGGGTGAGTTGCCATCTTCACCTGTAAACACAACACACGGCACACGGCACACGGCTTGTGGGCATGGCTGGCTGCTCTCACTCACACAGTGGGCCAGGCTGCATGCCTCATGCAGCAGCCCCACTTTGGTGCGTGCGTGCGCGCGTGTGTGTGTGGATCCATCCATCCATCCATATGTTGTGGACGTGTGTGTGTCGTGTGTGCAGGCATGGCTGGGTCAGGGAAGGCCCCTGGCAGCTACGCACCCGAGGACCCCTCTGCGGCCGGCAGCGCTGCTGCTGTTGGTGGTGGTGTGGGTGGCGGTGGTGGTCAGCAGCAGCAGCAGCCTTCAGCGAATTTCCCCAACTTCCCAGCAGCGATGATGTCGTTCCCCATGACGACGATGCCCTTCCCCAACATGATGGTGCACCCTGGCATGGCCGCCAACATGAACATGGGCGGCATGAACGTGGGATTCCCCATGCAGCCCATCAACCTCAACGGTCCGCTGGAGGGACACACAGAGAGACAACGGGAGAGGGAGAGAGGGAGTGTGTGTGTGTGTGTGTGATGGTGTGTGCGATCTGCAGATCCGTCGTCGCTCAACACGCACCAGAAGTCGGTGCAGGACACTCTGGCGCTCTTCTCGCAGTGGGCCGCCAACAACCCTTCCACCTCACCGGACCAACTCAAGAGCGTCTCAACCATACAAACCGTATAGACGCTGCTGGTCCACACACACACACCATCTCTCTCTCTCTCTCTCTCTCCTTTGCAGGCCCTGATGCAGCAGCTGCAGAGCTGCCAGGCCATGATGATGCAGGGTGGGGCAGCAGCAGCAGGCGCCCCCGGGCAGCAGTCGCAGCAGCACACGCCAACAGCAGCCTCCCTCCCAAGTGCCGCGAGTGGTGATGCTGTGGGCGTGGGTGTGGGTGTGCCCATGGCCACAGTGCAGCAGCCAGGAGGAGTAGGGGGGCTCGGTGTCGGCGGGGTGTCTGAGCACCAACATCCGCCCCCCGCTGCAGGAGGGTCAGACGCCAACCAGCACTTGGGCGTGTTGGGCAAGGCGCCTGCACAGCCGACATTCGGTCTGGGTGGGCTTACCATGGCTGCCGGGGCCACTGCTGGTAGATAGATGCATGTGTGTGTGGCTGAAAGCGTCTTTTGTAGGTGTGGGTATCTTGACGGTGCTCTGTGTGTGTGTGTGTGTGTGTGCAGAGGGCAACCTGTCGCCGAGCACCGACAAGCGGGGCAAGAGAAGGGAGAAGGAGAAGCAGACGGGCCAGGACAGGCGCCACAACCCCAATGCGCCTCAGCCACACCACACACAAGGCGGAATGGGTAAGTGAGGCTGTGGGCGGATACACACACATCACACGTGTGTGTGTGTGGTGCAGGTCTGGCGCAGCAGCAGGGGCGTGGCGGCCAGGGGGCACACAGAGGCGGCGGGCAGCAGCAAGGCAGAGATGGGGTACGTGTGTGCGTGTGACACACACATCCGATTAACTACTCACATGTCATTCATTCATCAACGTGTACTCGTATGTGTGTCTCTGTCTGGTGTGTGCAGGACTCCACGTCGCTCGCCCCTCTGCCGGAGGGCTGCACGCCACTACTAGAGGAGTTCAGGTACCCTAGACAGACAGACAGATAGACACACGCAGCCGTGATACACTCGCCAATGTACCCCCACACACACACGTCTGTGTCTGTTTCTGTCTCTGTGTGTGTGTGTGTGTGTGTGTAAAGGCGGGGCAAGAGAAAGTTCGAGCTGACGGACATCCTGCCCAACATCGTAGGCACAAATGGATGGATGGAGGGATGGATGGACGCCACACCCCTCCCCCTACACCCACACCAACACCAACATGTGTGGGTGTGTGTGTGTGTCTGCAATAAACACAGGTTGAGTTTGCGCAGGACCAGTTCGGCAGCCGATTCATCCAGCAGAAACTCGAGGTACCTTGCCACCAAAACCCCCTCCCAGCCCCCCCCCACACACGCACCTCTGTGTGCGTCTGTCTGTGTGCCTGTGTGTGCAGACTGTTGGGGATGAGGAGAAGCAGGCCGTCTTCCTTCACATCCTTCCTGAGGCAGGGGCAAGCAAAGCATAAGCAGCATGCCACTCACGCACACACACTACACACACTACACACAACACGCCCCCCCCAAAGAAGGAACTGCAACACATGTGTGTGTGTCTCTCTGTATCTGTGTCTGTTAAGGCGTCTAAGCTCACTACTGACGTGTTTGGCAACTACGTCATCCAAAAGTTCTTCGAACACGGTACAACAGACCCACACATGCATCCAGAATATGCGTGAGTGTGTGTGTGTGTTGTGCAGGCTCCAACGAGCAGAAGCGCATCCTGGCTGAGCAGCTGGTGGGGGAGGTCCTCAGGCTGTCCCTCCAGATGTACGGCTGCCGCGTCATCCAAAAGGCGCTTGAGGTCCGCACACACACACACACACACCACATGCACCTACCCACTGTGTGTGTCCTTTGTGTGTGGCGTGTTGTTGTGCAGTCGATATCGGTGGACCAACAGGTGCTGCTGGTGGGCGAGCTCAAGAACCACGTCATCAAATGCGTCGAAGACCAAAATGGTACACACACGCATACACACACGGATGGATGGGTGACTCGTTCGTTTGCCAATTGGTTGATGCAGGCAACCACGTGATTCAGAAGTGCATTGAGAAGATGCCCCAGGACAAGATACAGTTCGTCATCGACGCTTTCAGGGGACAGGTACACACACATACAAACACACGAGCTGTATATGTGTCTCTCACTCTCTCTCTCTCTCCCTCTCTCTCTGTGTGTGTGGCCGGCCCTTGATTCGTTTGAACAGATTCAGCGCATGTCTGTGCACTGCTACGGCTGCCGAGTGATACAGAGACTTCTCGAATACTGCAGCCACACACAAATCGTAAGTAACCATATCCCGACACACACACACATACCCACACACAGACACGTGTCCTTGCTGTGTGTGCAGGCGTGTCTGCTGGACGAGATATCGCGGTACATCCCGTCGCTTGCCCAGGACCAGTACGGCAACTATGTGGTGCAGCATGTTCTGGAGTTCGGACGGCCGCCGGACAAAGAGTGAGTCGGGCACACACACACACAGACACACACACACACATCGGTGGGCATCCTTCTGATGTCTGAGTGCGTGTGTGTGTGTGTAATCGGACAACCAGTGCGGTGATCACGCTGATCAAGAACAACATCAAGCAGTACAGCACACACAAATTCGCCAGGTGAGTGCCTTGCCTGTGTGGGCCACATACACACACACACGTATGGCTGCAATGGGCAAATGCATGTGTGTGTGGCAGCAACGTGGTTGAGAAGTCCATCCAGTTCGTGACGCCCGAGCAGCGCAAAGACCTCATCAGCGCCGCACTGGGCGACCCCGCTGACCCGTACGTCTCCACACACACACACTCGTCGTCTTGCTGACGTACACAATATATATCTCCCATGTGTGTGTGTGTGTTTGACAGGAATCCGCCCATATTGACGATGATGCGTGACCGCTACGCCAACTATGTCGTCCAGAGAATGCTCGAAACTGCCGAGGGTGAGAGGGGATGCGCCAATGGGCGTGTGGTGTGGTGTGCATCGGTCTGTATCCATGGACACCATTTGCGCGTGTGTGTGTGTGTATTCAGGTCACCAGAAGGACATGTTGGTGGTGCGTTTGTCCGAGCAGCTGCACACCCTGAAGAAATTCACATACGGTACACACACACACACATTCCACCTCTCCCCCTCTCCCTCCCCCGACCCGACCAACCTATCCACAACACACCCATCCATCCATCCGTTCCGTTCATTTGTGTGTGTGGCCATCCATCATGGGTGTGTGTAGGCAAGCACATAGTCACGGCGCTCGAGCGCATCAACAGACAGCGAGCGGGACTCGACGACTCCTCACTCGGCGGAATGGGTGCCTACACAAAGCACAGACACACCCAACCACAATCAATGGGTCCACCCGTGTATGTCAACGGATGTGGATGGATGGATCAGATTCGTTGACCCCCCGCCACGGTTCGACGCCCACCAACCTGTCGGCACACGCTACACCCACCAGCATGCAGGGCGGCGCACAGGTACATGAATGATGTCGATCAGATGATGGATGCCACACACGCGTCATCCATCCATCCATCCATCATCCATTGTCTGTCTGCCTGTATTGATGCAGCCAAATCCGATGGCGATCGGCACGACGCCCCCGCTGTCTCTGTTCGGCAAACCGCCGCAGACACACACTGCTGGTACGCATCCTTGGGTGGCTGGATGGGTGGACAGACACACGTACACTGTACACTGTGCGGCTACCGATGGATGAGTGCAGGTGGTGCGTGGGGTGCGGCTGACGGTTTTGCGCCTTCGCCACACAGCATGGGCAGGGGCACAGGTCAGGAAGGACTATACTCATACATACGCACACAATGCCTAATGCCTGTGTGGAAAGGTATGTGTGTACGTCTGTCTGTCTCGGACTGCCTTCATCCAGCGAGCATGTGGGACCCCTCTCTGACACGCCCACCACTCATCATGAACCTGCCACCAGGTCACCTACACACACGCTCTGACCCCTGCCCCCACCTCACACACAGATCATCGCAATATATGTGTAAAGATGTAGCGATGTGTATGGTGTGGTGTGTTGTGTTGTGTTGTGATTGTGTGCAGATCCGTCGCCGGTGCCGGGCGGCCAGCCGGCCCCCCAGCCGCCGCCCACAGAGGACCAGTCGGGGCACTTTTTCATGAACGGCAGACAGCCGGGAGGATTCAACTACTTCGCCATGGGCAGGCAGTACTGACTGACTGACTGCTCGACTCGACTGACCGACCCATCCCATCAACCCAGACACACTTCCATACGCTGCTTCCGTACACATCTGTGCGCCTGCATGTATGTATTGTATCCGTCGGTATTTGTGTGTTGAGTGGCTTGGCCGTGGGTGAGTGGGTGGGTGGGTGGGTGGCTTGCCTGTGAGAGTGGTGTGTGTCCTTTACATGCGGTGTGTGCATCGATCCTCATCCTATCGCAGTGTGTATGTGTGTGTATTGCCCGGCTGATGGATGGATGGATGTCCGTGTGGACACGTGTGTGTGTGTGTGTGCCTATGTGTGTGTGATGATCTTTTTCTTCTCTCTCTCTCTCTCTCTGAGTGTGTGTGTGTGTGTGTGTATGTGGCTCCCCTCTATATATCCCCCTCACGTGTGTACGTATGTGTGTCGGCCAGGCCACCGTAAAGGCCGGCACGCACTGAGCGAGTGAGCGAACGAGTCTGTGAGTGCCAAAAGAAAGAGCAGTACAGATCAGATCAGAGCAGATCGATACATCATAAGTCGAGCCAGTCTATCATCAGTCGCCTACCTGCCGTAACTGTCTATGAGGATACAATATGGACACACCACACACACAGACAGACAGACAGAGAGACACGCCAGCACGAAGGCAGACAGACAGGCGGACAGATTGGCTGTCCATATGAGAATATGTCAATATGTCGCTAAATATGTCGCTATGCACATATTCTTCTTTGTATCTCTCGTCGTGTTTCGTTCCTGTGTGCGTGAGTGCGCACACGCGTACAACGGATGCCTCAATCCATGCACAGTCGACCACCAATGGAGGGCCACACACGCAGCGATCCATCCCCCCC